CTGCAGTCACCCAGTCCCTCAGTGAGGCCTGAGCCAGCTGGGCAGTAAAGGAGAGGGTGGCCCCAAGAAATATTGGGGAGATAGATATAGATGCAAAATAGTATTTGGGAGCTAGAGATACAATTTTTGGGATTACAGTTAACCCCTGAACAACACGGGAGTGAGGGGAGCCAACTCTCCTCATAGTAAAAAAAAATCCATGTATAACTTTCGACTCCCCCAAATCTTAACTACTAATAGCTTACCGTTGACTGGAAGCCTTATCAATAATATAAAAAGTCGATTAACACATAATTTGTATGTTATATGTTTTATGTGCTGCATTCTTACAATACAGCTAGAGAAAATAGAATGTTATTAAGAAAATCATAAGGAAGAGGAATAGATTTCCTATCTATTAAACGAAAGTGGATCATCATAAAAGTCTTCATCATTGTCAACATCACGTTGAGTAGGTGGAGGAGGAGGAGGAAGAAGAGGGGCTAGTCTTGCTGTCTCAGGGGTGGCGGTTCATCCGAAAGTTTTTTCAAATTGTAGCAAATCTCAAAAAAATTCCCAATATATTATTTGAAAAATACAAGTATAAGTGAGTTCATGTTGTTCAAATCGATGTTATTCTAGGGTCAACTGTATATATGTGTAAAATACTATTTGGGAGAGATATTTGGGATTATAGAGGTGGAGGAGGAAGAGTGAGGACCGTAGGTTGGTCCTGGGTTTCTGATTTATTTGGGGTGGACTGAGACACTGAGTGGGGAGGATGAGCACAGTAGATGGGGGAAGTGGGGAGATGGTGAGTTTTTCTTCGACCTGCTGAGTTCAGGGTATCCATGGGGGCAGCAAGAGGACAATATACTATAAGCAGATAGAAAATAAACAGTAACAACCTTTCCATTTTTTACTTCGACCTATGTTCTTGATAAAAAATCCAGAAGACAAATCATAGCATCATAGGAAACTTTGCAACTTCTTATTGAAGGATGACTTTTAGTCTCTAAGCTGTGTCAAGTTGTTATTCTTTATTGTGAAAGGACAGGAAGGGGAGGGAAGGGAACAGGAATAAAGAAATCTGTAAAAACTTCCCTGACCTAACAAAGTCCCTCGCCTGTACTTGGTGTCTCCTACCTTACAAAGCAATTTACTTTAAGCTTCGATGAATCCAGGTCCGTACGGCAATCCTGGAAGGAGACACCCCATTCTACAACCCAGACACCCAGGCCTAGTGAAGCCGGGCTCATGGGCCTGGAGCCTATGGCATCCAAGGGGCAGAACTGCAACGTGACCCAGTCTTCAGATTCTCTGTTCACTCTCTCTCCTATGCCCACTTCACCTCAGCAGGGCCCTCCTGGGGCAGGCTGAGGAACCTGGAGTCTCTGAAACCCAGGTCCCAGAGCTGCCAAGCCTGCACCTTTGTGTAGTTGCAGAGTTTGAACTTTAAATTGGACAGGGACCGTGAGTTCCCTTAGAGCAGGGAGCAAGCAGACTGTCTACGTGGCAGGGGAACAAGGGGCAGGTCTTGGGAGGCAGTGGCAGGGCGAGGTAGGGGGAACCGTGCACTTGCTGGTAATGAACTCGGCACTTCCCAAACCTCAGCTCCCCTCACCTGGCTCCAGCTCCCTACAGACATTTAGGCCATGGCCAGTAGGTGGGAGGTAAGGAGAATTCATCTGACCCATTGCTTATTCTCATGAAATCATTTAAAACATTTAAAAGCCAAAATATTTGCTGGGGGACAGGGACAGGATGGTAATAATACCATCTACCGCTCACTGACTATTTACCAGTGCCAGGCTCCGTTCTAAGAGCTTTGCGTGCTTCCTCTCACTGGATCCTTAAAACAAGCCCACAAGGAGGTGCTGCCATCTCCATGGTACAGGTAAGGAAGCTGAGGCTGAGAACATTGTTAACAAGTGGAAGACCTGGGGCTTGGACCCTGGTCCTGTCTGACTCCAGGGCCATCCTCATCTTCTCTGCCACACAGCCAGGAAGCAGTGAAGCAGGAATCCCGGATCCAGGCTCTTCGGGGAAATTGTAACTGAAGCCTTCTTCTTATTATGCCCCTTTCTTTTCTTTTAAAATAATTTGTGAAGCCTAAAATAAGTATTAAGTGGTTAAAATTAGATTTACCAGACAATGAGACTGATATGACAGTTAGCTTGCAGAGTAACCCTGGGTCTATCAGACCTTAGGTTGGAAGTTGCTGGAAACATATGAGGAAATGTTTCAGAGATTACAGCGTACCAGAGATCGCCTAATTGGCTCCACTTCTCAGAAGGAGAAATCTGACCAAAGTCATACAGCAGAGGAGGAACAAAGGCCCCGATTCAAACCTGGGACCGCCCTCCCAGTCCAGGGCTCATTCTAGGCATCACTCTGCCTCGTAAGAGACGTAAAACTGGGGAGTGAAACCAGGCAGTTATTTTCAGAGACACCCCAGGTCCTATCCCTCTGCGACTCTGATCTTCCAGGCCATGAGCGAGCATGGCACTGCGTGACACTGGTAGATGGCCGCTAGAGTAGCTTTCTGAGAGTCGTAAGACGCCGTTGCACCCACACGCAGAGGGGCTGCTCAGCAGTAATTCTGGTTCTCTTCCTTCTGGGCAGGTGGTAGGATGTCACAGGGCCAGTGGGCTGTGGGCAGATATGACAAATGTGTCTTGTGGCTCAGAGCAGTGAACTGGTACGAGGGGCTCCAGTGTGTCCTTCCCCAGCCATAACCACTGGTGACGTCCCACAGGGTGGAGCCTCCATCTGCCAGCGGCTCTGAGAACTCTGAGCCACCTGGAAAGCCACAGTAGACATGTAGCATGAGAAATAAAACTTTGTCATGCTAGCCACTAAAATGACGAGGTTGTACGTTACTGTGACATAATTTAGCCCATCCCAACCCACCCACCAAGGGAACCAGCTCCTCTCTGATGTCCCAGCCTGTGCCCATGTTACAGGCAAAGCTGTTGGCAACATGGTAAAATGGCATTTTCTGGACACAGAGTTATTTCCTTAGGGCCATAAGCCAATGGTTTCGTGTGCTGGTTCTAGTTTCCATGAATGTGTTACGATCAGACTCTTAAGTTGAGGAAAATCCACCATGTTACTGACGTAGCTCTTCAGAAAGAGCGGGTGTTTCTGCAAATAGGAGACTGGCACCCCCCAAAGCCCTTCTCCTAGCAATCACAATAGCTGCATCATTCTGTTGCGGTATATGTGTTGGAGGCGGAAGGGGGAATGGATTTTGAGGCAAGACCTTGGGTTCAGCATTCTTTGCTTTTTTAGAGAAAGGGACTCACTCTGTTGCCCAGGCTGGAGAGCAGTGGCATTGTCATAGTTCACTGTAACCTCGAATTCCTGGGCTCAATGCTCCTCCCACCTCAGCCTTCTGAGTAGCTGGGTGCACAGGTGCAAACCACCATTCCTAGGATTGGGATTTTTGGCAGGACAACACGGGATGTCAATAAACAGTTCAACTCAAATGGCAATCACTGACACCTCCTGGCTGCAGGTCACTGGAGGGTGACAGTGATGAAGGACACAGCCCTTTCTGCAATAGCTCATAGTCTAGTCAGAGAGAGATAGACAAGAAAAAGGAACTATAATGAAGGCAAAATGAATGTAAACTCTGCTAATAGCTATGTGACCATCCTGTTGTCCGGGTAGTCAGTTTGTATGAAGCCATCTGAGAGAAGGCTGCGTGAGACAGTGGTGTGTGAACTGAGCCTTGAAGGATGAGTAGAAAAGAAAGGCACTCCAGCCTGAAGAAACTGCCCAAGAAGAGGGACGGGACTGGAGCACGCAGGCTTTGTCCAAAAGACGGGGAGTGGCCTGGTGAGGCTGCAGCAGTTGTGCGTGAGGGATGCGGTGGAGGCAAGGCAGGAGGATGGGCCACAGCCTACACACAAAAGCCCGCAAAAGCCTCTGCCATGCCCACTTGGTCTTACTGTTAAAGGTGTGAGTGATGAAGAAAAATGCAGTCAGGTGGTTTCCCACCCTTCACCTGCTGGAAACCCCCACATCTGTGTCCACCGTCAGAATTTGAGATGAACATAGTTCTTTCTGTAACAACACACCCATCAAAAACAAAGATCTTACAGTTCTGCTTTCCAGATTTCAGGCTTTACTTTGTCTTTACATCCCAGACGCAGAGAGAATCTCAGAGATCTAAAGCCCGGAGAGAGGAGGGGAGGTGTCCAAAGTCACCGAGTGAGTAAATGAATGACTACAAATTCCATGAGGGCAGGAGCCAGGTCTGCCTCTGCTGTATTCCCAGTATGTAGCCCAGGGCCTAACACATAGTAGGTGCTCAATAACTATTTGTTGAATGAGTGAATGAATGAGGCTTCACACTTGGGGAATTCTTTACTTTTTGCCAAGCCTCGCCAAGAAAAACCCTAACTATAGATGTTCACGTGGATCATAGTTAAAGGTCAGTTACTGACCAAGATTACCCAAGTGCCCCCTGTATGTTCCTGAAACTGTCCTTTAAGAATCACCCTGATTGACCGGGTGCGGTGGCTCACGCCTGTAATTCCGGCACTTTGGGAGGCCAAGGCGGGTGGATCACAAGGTCAGGAGATCTAGGCCATCCTGGCGAACACAGTGAAACTCCATTTCTACTAAAAATACAAAAAATTAGCTGGGTGTGGTGGCGGGCGCCTGTAGTCCCAGCTATTCGAGAGGCTGAGGCAGGAGAATGGTGTGAACCCAGGAGGTGGAGCTTGCAGTGAGCCGAGACCACGCCACTGTACTCCAGCCTGGGCGACACAGCCAGACTTTGCCTCAAAAAACAAAACAAAAAAAGAATCACCCTGATTCAGGGTAGAGGAAGGAAACCTGCACAGGCTCTGGAGAAAGCTGGTGTCATGGAGGACACTGGAGCCTTTGTCCAGGAGGTGGCTAGTACAGATGGAGCAGACACCTGTAGCTGACAATGGATGCCGTCCTCCATCCAGCCTCAGTGACAGGTCATTGCACCCCCGGGGCAGCACCTTCAGGTGTATGTTTCCTCTGAGCTACAAAGCATCCCAGTCTTCAAGGAGGAAGCTGAGTCTCAGAGAGGTCAAGTGTCTTGGTCAGTATCACACAGCTGGTCTGAGCTACAGCCAGGAGGCAAAGCTGGGTTTTGGAGTCATGCATTCGCTCTCTGTCAGGTGCCTGCAGTTCGCAGCACTTGCTGCGTGAGGTGCTGGTAGGAAGGAGGCAGACTCCTGACTTTAAGGTGTAGTAGGGAAGACAGGTGCACCACACAGCACACAATGACATGGAGGGATGGCCAAGGGCGGTGGGAGCACAAGACGGGAGCAGGTAACAGCAAGGGGAAGGAGTGGAAGGAAAAGAGACGGTGCAGCACTGGGCTCTGGAGAATAGGCGGAACACCCCCCACTGGGGATGGGAGGAAAGACATGCCTCCATCTAGGACACAGGTGCAGAGCTAGGAAAAGAGATGATTTCTTCAGGAAAGGGTGAGCCCTGCAACTCGACAAATGGTGGATAAAACGAAACAAGAGGAATAAGAGAAAAAAGAAATCTAGCCTGGAAGGACAGACAAGGCTCCATCGCTGTTGCAAAGCACTGTCCTCACAACCAATCCAGGAGCGGGTGGGGAGAGGTGGATTATATCTTCTGAGTGATAAAAGTTCACACTCAGCTCCTATTTTTCCTTCAGACCAGGGACCACCTGGCCATAAGACGGTTTTCCAGTCCTAACAAGACTACTGTTCTCTGGGGACACCTGGGCTTCCTCCTATGAATACCTGACGCTTGTCTTTCCCGAGAAGTGAGAGCAGCGCTGCATGGCGATGGAGGTCACCTGGGAGAGACCACAGCCTCGCCCACTGCTTCCTTTGCAGAGCTGGTCACGACTGACCGCACCTCCACCAGATTCATGTCTGGCTTCCCTCCTCGTGTGACATCATTGTATCATTTCTCCTACAAAGCAATATGGAAGCCAGAAAGTAAGTCACCTGGCTTTCATGACCAGAGTTCAATCCTGTGACCAGTAACTCTATTGAGACATGTATGTTCTTATGTGTCCTTTTAAAAAAATTAATGAATGGTCCATGATTCCTTAAGGAGAGATGACCAGAAATCAAGCTTACACATCCTGTGGGGTTGAAATATTTGATCTTCATGGCCCAAAGGAACACTAGGTGAGCGTCATCCATTACCCACCTGCCTTCCGGAGCTCATCTCACTTGACTCAGGGAATGGGGCAGCGCCTGTGACAGGTGTGGAATCCTTTTGTCCACTTATTTTCCTTATTGCTATAGCCCCAGCACCTGATACCTAGCATAGAATAGGTACTTAATATTTAGTGGATGGATAAATCTGAAATTCTATGGCCATAACTTGGTCATATGAAGCCGTAATGTAGAAAAGTTGCTTCCCGTTAATGGCCAAAAACACTTTGGATTCCAAAGGATCATTTTAAACATGAATCCTTCTCTGTTGTCTCCTCTGACCCCATCCTGGGGAAAGCAGAGAGGAACCTAGGGAACTAGAATGTGCCCCATCCTCCCCTCAGTGATGTCCGCAGAACTGCAGCACTGAGAAGGCCAGCATGCAGATCTGAAGTCCAACTCCCTCATTATACAGATGGTGAAACTAAATTACAGAGAGGGAGGCTGACCTGCTGCAGCTCAGACATCAGGTCACTGGGCTCCCAGGCCACTTGGAGCTTTTTCCAAAAAGCTGGGTGGTCCAGATGGAAAAGGAGAGAGAATGAGATGAAAGGGGCAAACCAGACAGCTGTGACAGAATATGTCCTGCTGGGGCCACACCAGCACTGTAACCTGGAGGTGCTCCTGTCTGTGTTCTGCCTGGGCATCTACTCCATGAATGTGCTGGGGAATGCCCTCCTCATAGGGCTGAATGTGCTGCACCCTCACCTGCACAACCCCATGTACTTCTTTCTCAGCAACCTCTCCCTCATGGACATCTGTGGTACCTCCCCCTTTGTGCCTCTCATGCTAGTCAACTTCCTGAAAACCCAGAGGACCATCTCCTTCCCTGGCTGTGCCCTGCAGATGTACCTGACCCTGGTGCTGGGATCAACAGAGTGCCTGCTGCTGGCTGTGATGGCATATGACCATTATGTGGCTATCTGCCAGCCACTTAGGTACCCAGAGCTCATGAGTGGGCAGACCTGCATGCGGATGGCAGTGCTGAGCTGGGGGACTGGCTTTGCCAACTCACTGCTACAGTCCATCCTTGTCTGGCGCCTCCCCTTCTGTGGCCACAACCTCATCAACCACTTCTTCTGTGAGATCTTGGCAGTGCTAAAACTGGCCTGTGGGGACATCTCCCTCAATGCGCTGGCATTAATGGTGGCCACAGCTGTCCTGACACTGGCCCCCCTCTTGCTCATCTGCCTGTCTTACCTTTTCATACTGGTCACCATCCTTAGGGTACCCTCTGCTGCAGGCTGGCACAAAGCCTTCTCCACCTGCTCAGCCCACCTCACAATGGTGGTGGTTTTTTATGGGACAATCTCCTTCATGTACTTCAAACTCAAGGCCAAGGACCCCAACATGGATAAGATTGTCGCATTGCTCTATGGGGTTGTGACGCTCTCACTGAACCCCATCATCTACAGCCTGAGGAGCGCAGAGGTGAAAACTGCTGTCCTAGCTCTGCTGAGAGGAGGTCTGCTCTCCAGGAAAGCATCCCACTGCTACTGCTGCCCTCTGCCCCTGTCAGCCAGCATAGGCTAGGTTGTGCTGTGGTCATGACCTCAAACCTTCAGAGGCTTAAAGCCATTAAGATTTGTTTCTTGCTCCTGCTGCAGGTCCACCAGAGGCTGGTGGGGCTTCTGCTCCACATCATGGTCTTCACCCCTCTGAGACTCAGGATGACAAAGCAGCTACCATTGGGAACATTGCTGGTCACCATGACAAAAGGAAAAGGGAAAGTAACAAAGCCTGCACAGACTCTTAAAGCTTCTACTCAGAAGTGGGTGTGTTGCCTCCACCTACATTTCAGTGGTCAACACAATGGCAACAGGAAGGCACAGGACCACACCTATTGTGAAGGGGGAGAAGCACGCTATCGTGTGTCTGGACGGCAAAAGAGAGGGACAGAGAGATTTGTGAATGGCCTAATGACTACCACACCAGCTGACAGTGTCAACCCAAGAGCTATTGGAGGTTTGGTTTTCTTTATCCTGACCATCTATCCTTCACAGGTTGCTGCCAGGTTAATCATCCCAAGAAAGCTCTGGTCAGCTCACTTGTGGTAGCTTTATACTGAGTCAACCAAACTAGGTTAGAGGGTCTGGGTTAGTGTTGGCCACAGAGAAGTTTGCATGAGATTTGGAAGGCAAAAGTGGGCCAGGTGTGGTGGCTCATGCCTGTAATCCCAGCACTTTGGGAGACCGAGGTGGGCAGATCACCTGAGGCCAGGAGTTCGAGACCAGCCTGAGCAACATGATGAAACCCTGCCTCTACTAAAAATACAAAAAATTAGCCGGGTGTGGTGGTGCACCTGTAGTCCCAGCTACTACACAGGATTGCCTGAACTTGGGAAATGGAGGTTGCAGTGAGCTGAGATGCCGCCACTGCACTCCAGCCTGGGTGACAGAGCAAGACTCCGTCTCCAAAAAAAAAAGAAAGAAAGAAAGAAAAAATGGAACAGCACCAGACACAGTGAGGGCACTCACATGTCGCTAATCTGCTGGCTCCCCGTTAGCACAGCCTGTCCAGTCCCCACCAGGACACTTCCTTCCACTGTGCTGAGTGCTGGACCAAGTGCAAGCTCCATGGCAAAGGTGCCAGCTTCTCCTGCAGGTCACCAGTCACTGAGATTGAAGGCACAAGGGCCATGCACAGGTTCGTTTGTCCTCCTGGATTATAGTGTGCCCTTACTGCCCCTCACTTCACACTCAGCCTTCTTTCCTAACTGCTAGCCCAGCTGAGCTGTAACAGCTTCAGGCCCAACACCAAACGCAGAGGTTAACAGTTTTGCACAGATTTCTCCAACTGCTCCCGTGACTGTAAAGTTCTCGTGTTTTTATCACTCATAGTGGTTCTGTTACTTTGGTCAAACCCGGATTGATTCATCACTTTTCTGATCAAGGACTTTTGACAGCTCCCATTACCATTAAGTCCAAATTCTTCAGTTGAGTCCTCAAGGCCCTCCAGAATCTGCCCCCACCTGCTTCTTCAGCCTGATTTTCCACTACACCCTTCACATGGCTGTCCACTCGCTACACTATCTGTACTGCCGCACCCCCACGTCTTTGTACCCTTGCATGTATTGTGCTGTTCTCTGATGATACCTGGGACTAGTTTTCAAAGCCAGGTTAGACATCATCTCTTTCATGCATCCTTTCCCATTGCACTTTAAGATCGTTCTCTTTACATCCTACAGCACTTTGTCAGATCTTCCACTTCACACTTGTCCCATCTAACTCGCATTCATGACACTTCACCACCGTGTGAGCTCCTTCAGGGCAGGATTCAGTCAGGTCTGGCTCATCTCTGTAGCTCCCACAGCACGTTCCCTGTGGAAGGTTTGCAGGACTGAATTGTCACTCAGAAGCCTTCAGAACATCACCCTGTGGGGATTGAGCCCTGTGCTGCTGAACATGCCCCAGGCAGCTGCAGGTGCTTAGAAGTCTCAGTCCAGTCGTATGTACAGATATGTGCAAGGGTGCAGCCATATCTGCCAGCCACAGCCCTGTATTCAAGGCAAGGGAGGGCTGTTTGAATCTTGGGATCTCTCCCACTGAGACAGGTCAGGAGACAACCAAGGATCCCCATTTTGGAAGCCTGGAGACAGGCCTGGTTCAGCAGCTACGTCCAGCACTGTCATATTGCTGGCCCCTTTCCCTCCGGGAATCCCACATGCACCTCAAACTGTCCAAAGTGGAGCTCATCGTCCCCCGACCCAAAGTGGTGTCACCATCGCAGGGAATGGCACCACCACCCCCAATCAGAATATTACCATCATCCTAGGCTCTCTCATACCTCACCGCACCACACATCCAGTCACCAAGTCCTAAAGAGTCCCTTCCTTTCCACCGACATTGCGTTAAGAAGGCTTCACCATTTCTCTCTCAAATGTTCCAATAGCTGTGTCACTGTACTTTGTCCTCCAAGGTCTCCCAAAGTCCATCCTCTGCCCCAGCCATCAAAACTCCAATCTGATCATGTTACTCTCCTGCTTAAATCTCTCCAATGGCTCCTCATTTCCCATAGACTAAAGACCCAACCTCCACTTGCCTATCCGACCACACCATTGACTGCTTACCTCCACTATCCCACTCCACACACAAAAGCATGTGCACGTGCACCGGCCCAGGCACACTGAACTATTCAGTGCCCAGAGTAAATATCAGTCTTTCCTGCCTCTGCATGCCCTCTTGCTGTTCCCTCTCCATGTCCAAACACTTGGTGACCTTAAGCTAACATATGTTGGACCACATCACATACCAGACTAGGCACTATACAAGTGTTCTAAGAGCTTTACTGACTGAAGACCACATGGAATGATGAAAATCTCAGGGGAGGGATGCCATATGGACACTGGTGACCACAAAGAACACTCTCCCATTATCTTGGCATCATGGCAACTCAGTTAATCCTAGTTCAAATGTCCCTCTTCCAGGATGCCCCTTATGACCCCTCCTCACTGGGTGGGATGCACCCCAGCTCCATCTCCCACTTCAGAGCTTTCTGTACTCTGCCGACTCCATCCAGAATCCCAGCTATATGGGTTCAAGCATCCCAGTGACATGGCTCTATACATCTTAATGTGGTATTTCTGATGTAGGAACAGTATTTTCTAAAATAGGAACAGACACGTAGCTCATATCCCCTCACTGCTTCTCACTACTTACTTGGCCACACCATTCTCTGCTCAGTGCCCCATGGAAGAGATGTGATTGCAGAAAGCAGATAACAAAGGCATGTTTTCCTGGCTTTTGGGGTTCAAAAGCCTAGGTCCTGAAGGGAACAGAAAAGGCTTAAGGCATAAATAAAATATTCGGGCTAGGTCGGGCGCAATGGCTCACGACTGTAATCCCGGCACTTTGGGAGGCTGAGGCAGGAGGATCACCTGAGGTCAGGAGTTCGAGAGCAGCCTGACCAACATGGAGAAACCCCATCTCTACTAAAAATACAAAAATTAGCTGAGCATGGTGGCACATACCTCTAATCCCAGTTACTCGGGAGGCTGAGGCAGGAGAATCGCTTGAACCCGGGAGGCAGAGGTTGCAGTGAGCTGAGATCGCACTATTGCACTCCAGCCTGGGCAATAAGAGCAAACCTCTGTCTCAAAAAAAAAAAAAAAAAAAAAAAAAAGATTCAGGAGAAAACATTAAGTAAGGCTTCCTCACCTCCAATATTAACAAAAGGGGGAAAGAAGAGAGAAGGGGAGAGAATGTAGTGAGAATACTGACACAGAGGGTACCAAAAGGGAGGGTCCCCGAGCCCCACATCTCAGACCAAGATAGATTTGCAGGTTTTAAAAGATGCAGCAACTCATGCCTTGTGAAAACCCAGAACAGAAATGGCTTCAAGGCGTGTCTGCATAGCCAAGGCCTCAGACAACTTCACAGTTCTCCACATATGGCCCAGAAGTGGCAGAGAGAACCTTAGGACTGAGAGGGTTATGCAAATGAGAACAAGAAATCTCTCTGCATCCCAGATGAACTGTCTGGACCTCTGACTGGGGACCAGATGGAACGATGGAAATCTCAGGGATGGATGAAGTATGGACACTGGTGATCAGTAAGAATGCTCTCCCAACTTCGTGGCATTATGTAAGACCCTCAGAACTCAGCTATGACCCTCATGGGAAGAGAAGGAATCCCGAATAGACAAAAGATCTTTTCTGGCACTCAGGAAAAATGGGGGCTCAAAACAGAAGTTACATTCTTGTGATATTTCTTGCACACCTGAGATGTGTACCTGCTATTCCAATTTCCTGGGATCTCGGCTTCCTTCTGTGTTGGGTGTGGGCGTCATGAGGAAAGTCTGTCTCGCTGATTTAAACCATCTCAGCGTATGCATACACACACACACACACACACACACACACCCCTCTCAGCTATTGCAAACTGGGCTCAATATGAATTGGGGAATGGACATTAGAAGGTGTTTAGAAATGAATGCAAGGCCCAGATGAGCGGGATCAGACTGTGTACACGGCATGACAAAAGCCTCCAGCAGTAGCTCCCATCAGCCCTGCTGATTCCCTGAGGGGCCCTCTTTCCCCCATTCCCCACACCCCTGACCCCAGGGGTAAAAAAGGCAGCACAGAACCAGTCTGAACCAATCATTCATTGGAGACACACAGACTCCACCTGTATCAAACGAGGATACCAGCCACCCAGACAGCCCCAGTCCCAGCTTCATCCATCCTGCAATCCCTCCTCCGCAGCACAGCACAGCCCAGACGCTGCCTCTGGAAAGGAAGCCTGAGGCCAGAGTTGCTGAGCCTCTGGGAAAATCTGGAAATTTGGTTTCCCCAAGATAGATTCCACCTCCTCTGGAATGATCCGTGTTCCTGACAGGGGTTTGTCTCCCTGGGAAGGAATCCATGTCTTGGGAAGGCTCCGTATCCCAGGAAAGGCTGCACACCTGCAGGAGGGACTCCTTGGTCCTGAGGGGCTCTGTGCCTGCATAGGCTCCAGTCCTTAAGAAGGACTCCATGATGCAGGGGGACTCCAGGCCCTCAGGAAGTTCTCCATGTCCTGGGAAGGGCTCCAGGTCCCTGGAAGAGTTCTGTGTCCTTGAGAAAGACTCCATGTCCTCAAGAAATACAGCCTGTCTCCTTCTAAGAGGGCTCCACGCCCCCAGAAAGAACTCTAGGAAGCGTCCATATCCCCCCAGGGCCAGGCCCAAAGCCCCTCTCAGCTGGCACAGATGCTGCTGACAGTGGCCCCTCCTGGGCCCACGAGGCCCAGCTCCTCCTGCTCGTTGATGCATAGCTGGTAACCACAGCCCCGGGCCCGGGCTCCAGACGGGACCCGGTGGTCAGTCTTGGCACGAGGGGGCAGCAGGAAGCCCACACTGCCCGCAATGAGCATATGCCAAATGCTGTGAATGTAGAAGTAGTTGTCCCGGGTCTCCACAAAAGCATAAAGCAGGACGGCGCTGCCTGCAATAAGGCTGCCCGGGCACAAGTAGAAAAGCCAGCGGCGCCACGTGGGTGGGTAGCAGTGCCGGCGGCGGACGCTGCGTACTGTCTGGGGGAGACAGAGAAGTGGGGCTCAGGAATTCCAAGCCCTGGGACCCAAGCCACAGTTGGTCACTCTCAGGTTTCCTCTTTAGGTTGTGACCTAAAGACATCTTCTAAGACTGGAGCGGACACTGCCAGCACCAGGTGATGATGACAGAGCTAAGCCCACCTTAAACTGGGGACCAGATACCTGGGGCCCCACACCCAAGTCCTGCTGGGACCCTCCCCCAACGTCCCTCCCCACCCTTACCCAGGCAGTGGCCAAGATCCCCAGGGCGAAGAGACTGGGTCCAAGCAGGTTCCAGAGTCCATGTCGGTCAAGCTGCAGAGCCATGGACAGCAGCATAGCTCCCAGCAAATACAGCACCTAGAGAAAGAGACTCCAGGGCTGGGCTAGGGCCAGGTGACAGACAGCACTCCAGGGGCTGGGTCAGAATCATGAGAGGCACTTGGAAATGCTCCCAGGGAGAGATCATTTCAAGAAGTGGATTTCAAGAAGACTTGGCCATGGCTGTTCCCCAGGGCCCACTCTGGACTGACCTGCTTGACCACGGGCTGTAAACGAGCCATGGCAATGACAGTGACCCACACGGACATTAACGAGCCCAGGAAATCACAGAACTGCAGCACATCGTAGTCCATGATGCAGAAAACCACGATGCCTGGCTGGTCACAGGCATGATAGAACTGAAGGAAGAAATGACAGGCATTGAGAGAACGTGAGGCAGAGGTCCAGGTCTACAAAACTGGAGGGGGTGGGCCCAGGGGTGGTGTGCTGCTGTCAGAGCAGCAGAGGTGAGAGGTCACAGATGAGAAGATCTGGGAAATGCCTGACTCCCCAAATCCTGAGAAGAATGTGGTAAGGAGGTCCAGTCTGCTGCATAGCTAGTATGTATCTGGCAGCCCTGACCCTGGTCCTGACCTTCCTAATCTTCCTGCTTCTGGAAGGTGTTGTGGAGAGTGCCCTGCCAGGGGGTTCTGATATCCTCAAATTGAAGCCAATCCTGTCCCCGTCTCCTCATGCTCACCATGGATCCCACCTATAATCCCCATCCCTGGCCCAAGCTCTGGGCTACCCAGAATCCAAATCTCCCCGCTATGTCCCAGTTTCCCCTGATAGCTCAGACTCTGAACTGGGCTTCACTCTCAGGCCTTCCACCAACTGACCCTCTTCATCCCCTCCCAGCAAATGCAGGGAGTGTGTGGCAGGTAAGAAAAAAGGCAGTCCCTAAGGCCATGGAGAGAGGCATGGCACTTCACATCATGGGGAAGAACATGGAGAGGGGACAGTGTCCACCCATCCTACACTCTGGAGAACATAGTGAAGAGTAGACTATTGAGGAGGTTCGAAGGGGATGCAGGGAACAGAAGTGGAATTGGATCAAACTCAACTGGACATCCTAATTAAGGAACCAAGCAAAGTCTGCCACTAGCTCCCTTGTCTGTAGTCCTGACCCATGTCCAGATTGTCTCTCTGGACAATGCCATGGCTTCCAGCATTCTGTGTTTCCTTATTTGTGAAAAAAGTTTTCTAGGGATAACTCTTTAGTGGCAGAGATGCCACCAAAAGAACTGGAAAACATACTCAAAGTCAGTCTCTAGAGACAAAAGATGAAAAAGAAATCGCTGTTTCCTTTGACCCTACTGAAGATGTCATCCAGTCATTCAAATTGCAAAAATTACAACTCCAACAGACAAATATGGAAAGGAAGAAGCTAGGATCTAAGAAAAAGAAAACAAAATGAAGAAGAAAACCTGGGATATGAATTGGCATCGGGATACTTTGGGTTTGATTCCTTTAAATTTTAAGCTGCAAGACTCAAGCTTGTCTATCTATCTTCTTTCTTTTCCTTCACTTTGGAGGTAAATAATTTTGTTCCTGCAAGAAGAGACTGCCTTAGGATGAACATGTTTTAAGTGAGTGTTACAGGCTTTCAAAAGGGCTTGTTATTTTGGGGACATGGTTCCCTTTTAATATACTGTTAAATTGAAAAAGTGAGTTCTTACTGGGAAATTTTCAGAGACTTTTCATGTAGGTCCATATCAACATTAGAATTATTTTTTTTTAGGTTGGGTGCAGTGGCTCACGCCTATTAATCTCAGCATTTTGGGAGGATGAAGTGGGTGGATCACTTGAGCCCAGGAGCTCAAACCAGCCTGGGCAACATGGTGAAACCCCCATCTCTACAAAACATACAAAAATTAGCTGGGCATGGTGGCATGTGCCTATAGTCCCAGCTACTTGGTGGGGAACAGGGAATTGGGGGTGGGGGCAGAAGGGGCTGAGGTGGGAGGATTGCTTGAGCCTAGAAGGTCAAGACTGCACTGAGCTATGATCATGCCACTGCACTTCACCCTGGGTGACAGAATGAGACCCTGTCTCAAAAATAAATAAATAAATAAAAATGGTTAAGTAATTAATGTTTGAATATGTCTAAGAGACTGGTTTATTTTTCAACTATTTATATGTGCTGATTCATTAGAAGTTAATTTAGTTCCTAAACAAATCAATATTTTGGTCTTTTTTTATTTTAGTTATAGGACATTGATTATTCTCTGCCTCCAAGACCAGACATAAGTACTATAGGCCACTAAATTACCCCAATACTGTTTTATGACTTGGATTTTATTTTAAAGCACTAATTTTACATCCAGGCTTAACCAAACACTGGCTCCACATGCTTCACTTTCAAGTTCATAGAAAGAAATGCCCAGAAGTTTCTGGAAGAGGGATTTGTACTGTATTTCAGATAAAGGAAGATATATATCAGCAGAAAAAAGGCAAAGCTGAATCACTAAACACTGAAGACACATCTAGGGGAATAATTAAGGGCTGACTTTCTCCTAGGAGTTTGCACTAAAAGAAGAATAAAGAAAAATGGAGATATTATCTCCAGAGTAGAGAGGATTTGAAGAAATCATCTCACTAATATTTTGCGACTGATTATCTTCCAAGTATACTAAAAGGTCAAAGAGATTGTTTTAGGTTGTGAAAAATCCACAGGGATAGAGTTAAATTAAAATTGTAGCATGAGGGAATTAGTCCACTAAAAATTGTGGACTAATTTTTAGATTGGCATTCGTTTTGTCAACAGCAATAAAAAAGTAGAAGTGACACAGAAAAATCAGGGAATTTAAGAAAAAAAATTAGACTACAAACTAATCTAAGTTGATAACTTTCTCAGCTTTGGACATTATTTATGAAGCAATGTAGGGAAATTATCCTCACATTTTTTTCTGTGGAATTTTACATTTTTGTAACAGTACATCTAATGGTCCAAAATGGGCTATCCAGGTACTGCAGAATGGGGACTACAAATGCAAACATAGTTAATTCATACCAATATTGGGATATAACGGAACTCGCTGTTACTCCCTTATTTCCTGTTTTCTGCTTTCATTTTCTCTTGGAAAGAGTTACGGGATTTTGCCAAGGGACACTGAGAATGACCTGGGATGGTCTGAGGGATGTAAGGGGTAATGAGAAGGTGGCCTTGTAGCCAGGATGTCGGCAATCAGCAAGGACACCTGCACAGCCCCAGAATGCCAGCTCTGTCTGGGTCTTCTGAGATCTAATTACAAGGATTCAAGGAACACTGTGACGGATACACAGTTTGAACAGTATGGGTTCAAGTTGCACAGCAAAAATTTTGGTATCTTTGCCCTGATGGTTTCTTATATTTGGCTTAGTTGTATTTTCAGATCTCTTGACTGGCTCCTATCTTTTAAGAATTTGGTGAGAACTACTAAACTGCGGCCATGCCTTTTTCTACATACTCCAGGCCTTAGGAGAAACTGAAGTCAGGTTAAAAGCATATCAATGCATGCTCACTGCCCTAGTGCAAAGGGAGCAACATAGCTCATCTGTTACTTGCTAGGGATCTGGAGTCAGGCTCACCCAGATTCTAAGGTAGATACTCACCTTCTACCTCAGGCAAAACATTTAACTTTCCCTTATCTACAAAAAAAACGATGACAAGAATAAAAGCATGTATCAACTATTACAGTACTATTGTGAGGATTAAATTAGCAGTGTCTGAAACACAGCACATATTCAGTATATGTCATTTTGTTGTAAACATTACCTGAATTGTTTGCCTATATACAAAAATCAAATGCTAAGTTTGTGGCCTGTTTTTTTTTTGCAAATCAAATGCTAAGTTTGTGGCCTGTTTTTTTTCCAAAAACATATTTTATATCTGTAAACTCCTGAATTTTACTGTCTGCTCCTATGTCCCAGATAAGAATGAATTACTGCTCCCAAGTGTAGACTGTCCTGGATTATTTGAAGACAAGGAAGATAACTGTCATCTCCTGTCCTAGTACTGACAACTGCAATTTGACCCAATGGGCTCCTCCTTAAATGGACACTGCTGCAGAATGAAATAAGTCTAAGAATGGGAAGTGGGTGAGGACCACAGAGAACTCACAGGAAAAGAGAAACACAGCTTTGTTCTGGCCCATGTGGAAAAGAACAGGAGCAGCAGGGCTTTAGGCAACACTCAAAGCCAGCAGCTTTTCCTTCATTGCCTTACTTAAGACAATGGGAGCTTTTGGCCCAGTGCAGCAGCTCACGCCTGTAATCCCAGCACCTGGGAGCACAAGACAGGTTCATGAGGTCAGACATTTTGAGACCAACTTGGCCAACATGGTGAAATCCTGTCTCTACCAAAAACACAAAAATTAGCTAGGTGTGGTGGTGTGCACCTGTAATCCCAGCTACTCAGGAGGCTGAGTCAGAGAATTATATTTGAATCTGGGAGGCGAGGTTGCAGTGAGCTAAGACTCCGCCACTGCACTCCAGCCTGGGCGACAGGAGACTGTCTCAAAAAAAAAAAAAGGCAAAGAGGGTGGAGCTTTTTTATGTGACTTGAGGCTTCTCCCTGCTACAAGGAAGGTCTTTTTTCAGGTTGACAGACAATGTATCCAGATAAGGAAGAATCATTTAGCACTGAACACTCTGAGCCAATCAGGATGCTTGTGTCAAGTCCAGAGAGTGAATATGCTCTCCCTACATGCTGCAGTCTTTGACACACTTAGGTAGGCTTACTAATTATGAATCACATTCAATCTGGTGCATAATGGAGAGGGCTGGTGGAACAGCTGTTGCTGGGAGGACAGAGCTACAGCAGAAAGGGCATCTGGCAATACGGGGAGAAACAGTGTGTTCAATATAAAATAGAATGAGTACTGTGGGAGTAGGCCTAAAAGGGGCCAATCAAGCAAAAACTGGGTATGTGCTTCTCACCCAGCTTAAAGAGCCATGATCTCTCTGCAGCGTGGCTGCAGCCTCTTCTTCCACATCTCTGGATGAATCTCCAGCAGGACCCAGGCCCCTCAGTTTCAGCACATTTGTCCCTGCTTTCTTCCCAGATGAGGTATGATTTTTCTAATTTAGACATATGTCTGACTCAGTAATGCTGGACACCAGGAAGGCCCGCTTTGGTTTCTGTGATATCCCGTGCTGCCAAGGCTGAGAGTCTGAAATCATCTAAGGAGTTTTTGCAGTGCTCACATGCATGCTTCATGGTGTCAAGAGCCCAGAGATGAGCTGAAAACATTCCAGATGTGACACTTCAGGGGTAAAAGTCTACTTTGGGGTTAAGTCATACCATACAGGCCTTCATTTTCTACCTTCCTCAGTTTCTGGGAGACACTTGCTTATAATGAACTTTTTCTGATTATGGAGGAGTGGGGAAAACACAGGAAAGAGATTGTGGCGATTCTGCAATGGGAATGGAGGGTTTTAAATCAGTATTAATTTTCATCAGGTCACCTTGAGCTGCTGGGATGTGATATGATACTGCCACATCTGACAATGCCTCTCAGACATAGTTGAGTCTGTAAAGCTTCTGGTGACCTCTGAAAGTCAGACTGTCCTATATAATCCCCCCAATACAGAGATCCCCTCATCTTTCCAAAGTTCCCACATGAGAAATCAAGGTGGCATGGCGACTGAATGGGACACCATTTCCCAGACCACAGGAACGAACATGCTAACGGTGTGTGAAGCCCTATGTGACAGAAGGAGCTCAGAGGCTAGCTCTCACATCATGGAAGAATGTGGTGAAAATGAAGACACTCATGCAGAGGGGGAAAGCACAGATTTCCTGCCCCCATACACAGAACACGGTGACTGTGTAGACACAAACTAATACTGTAGGCCAAGTTTCTGGCCCATGTGTTGAGTAGCGTCCCCAGCCCTCAGGGTGGACAGAGTGTGTCAGCTAGAGGCCCAAACTTACTTTGTTAAGTTGAGAACAGTTTGTTCATTTCCCTCCAATGTGCCTTACAAAAACGAATTTTCTCTATGCATGATAGGTTGGGAAGACTGCTGTCTCTGTCTGTAGAAGACAATATGAAGGCACGCACGAAACCTCGGAGAACGTGTGGTGAAATACAGACTGTGACCCACCACCACGCACAAGCACTCCAGTGATAAGATGGTATACAGCCGGGCTACCGGGAGAAGAACATGGTGAAGGTGTAGACAGCAGCTTCCAGCACATATCGACTCCGAATGGCCAGGACCACAGGTGGCAGAAACATGAGGTTGCTCAGGCAGAGCAGGAGTGTGGACAGCAGCGGAATCATAGGTGAGCGCACCGCACTGTCGGTGCAGCCTCAGCCTCACTCCTGCGGGTGGGGAGGAACAGGATGAAGAGGACAGACGGCAGCCATGGTCATGCCACTGCCCGTGGAGGGTGGTTCCCACTCCCGGCTCTGCCAAAGCCGCCCCCAATTCAGGCCAAGTACTCCCCACTTCCCGCCGGCCTGCCCACAGGCCTTGCCAGGTCCACCTCCAGTCCACCGCAGCTCCGCTCACCAGCCTTGTACTTAGGCTGCATACAGATAGTTGTGTAAAGAAAGAAGTGAGTATCAGCTACATGTCCCAGTCGCCCAATGAGTAGGACAGGAAGGTGCGCATCCGCACCTCGGCCGTCGCTGCGGCACCGCACGAACCTGGGCGCACACACTCGCAGTCACCTGGGGCCTCGCGACCCCGCAACTCAAGTCCCAGCCCTGGCCCGCCCCGCCCGCCACCGGAGGCCTCACCCGCACAGGGAGCGAAGGGCCCAGGAACCAGGTCCTGCCTGGGCGAATGGGATTCTGCAGCCTGGCACTCCTGGTAGTGGCACTGACGGAGGAGGCGAAGCCGGGCCAGGACTCTGGAAGGGAGAGGAAGGGGTCAGTAGAGAGGAAAGAGGAGTCAGGACTCAAGAACTCACCCACCTTCCCCACTTCCCGGGAACCCTGGGCCTACCATTCCTCCATTCCATCTCTCCTCTACCTTCACCTGCCCGCCACTACCACCACCACCCCTACCACTGCAGCTTCCTCCTCCCCCATTCCTACCCCACCTTGGAACAGGTCACTGCTGCATCCCCCAGGCTCAAGGGCACTTGTGGTCAAGCATCCAAACACTGTCAATGCTTCCTGGCGACGGAGCTCTGGGGAGGGTAGGTAGAGGAGGTCACCACATCCTCCAGCCTCACCCACAGCCACCCTCGGACTCCACCCCTGTTAACCCACACCTTCCAAGGACAGCCCATTCCTCCCGGCGCTCTGCACGCCAAAGCTGCCCTCTCACCTCCATTCTAGAACAGAAAACTGAAAACAAAATAGATCCTCCACAGCAGAAATTAAGGACTGATGAGACGGTATGCCCAATTCTGACCCATTCTTTTGGGCAGAAGTGTTTCAATTTGTCCGAGCAAGAGAGATCACCCTCTTTTTCTGTAGTCCTATCTAGCTCACTGAGGGAAGGAGAGCTGTTGCCAGTTAGAAACTAATTGTACAAAGGCAATTGTAAGGTTTTCCATCATCTTCACTCTGGACCTCAAGACAGGCAGAGCATGAAGACACTCACTCCAATTCAGGTGAAATGATCCTAGGTACTGAACGGGTAACAGAATGTAAGATTTAAACACAACATGGCAGGGATTAAAAGAAACCAGCTAATCTGCAAGAGTAAATGTAAGGGGTTGTCTACAAGAATAAAGGTAACAGGATGCCATAAACTCACCTCATTCAAGAAGGATTTGAGGCAAATACACAAACAGAATAATAAATGCCTGAGGGAAACTTAAAAATCAGATTAGGAAAATAAAGTCTGTCCCTAATGTAGGCCATATATTTGATATTGACTACAACTAAAGCAAAGGAAGTATAATGAGTTACCACAGATTTGCATCATGGATAATATAAAAGCTAATCAGAGTCTGGAGAATCACAGCATCCAAAGTTTCGAGAGAAATTTCATCAAAGCAGCACTGTGTGTTGTCATGCATCCTGTCCTCAGCCACAAGAGTGAGTTTCATACAACTATGATAGGTAACTTCCTTCAATGCAAGCCTGGGGCAATATGCCAGTATTACTCAGTGAAAGTCTTTCCCAGGAGGGAGCCAAAGAAAAAGTATATGCAGTTCTCTGATCCAAATGTCCAGTTCTTGATCCAAGGGGAGAAAAAAAATCAAAATATTTGGAGGAAATACCTTTCAGAATAAACAGAACAAATGAGGTGGGTAGCACGTGTCAGAATGCAGATGATGGAATGTAAACAGATGCTCATTAGCAGAATGACAGGGAATGCAGAGAGGGAAAGGGTGAGGGGCTGGAGGAGGGCTAGGCTTCTATTTTCCGGGTACTGAGGAAGAAACAACAAGTATGGGCAAGGCTGTCCTCTAATTCAGGGTCTACAGTTTCAAGGTCGAATCAAGATCTCACTGTCATTGCCCAGGAGGTATGGCAATAAGCAAACACAAAATACATACAGTCTTAGCGAGAACAAAGAGAGAATTTGATTATGTAAATAAGAAATATATTCAGGGTGAATAAATGACTCTAACAGGACCACTAGAAAGTTCTAAGCCATGTCCTATAAAGGCCACATGAAGCCAACAGACCAGGCCTCTAGGTTGGCTGATGGAAAGTGGTCCCGCCCTCAGAACTGGAGGAGAGAGTTAGTGATCCCTGGCTGGGGAACAGTATGTGTGGTTATTGGATCAAGCTAAGCTGGAAGATATTCCTCTAATGGGCCAGCATAGGCTCCGCCCCATCTCAGTCTTAATGCTGACAGTAATGACTAAGAAGTGCACAAAAAGTTATTTGTAAGTGTGTGAATTACACAAAAATGAGAAGGCCTGAGTCCTTTGCAATCAGTATTAGGCACGCCCAAGAGGACATAAATTCTTCCATTCAGGTCTTTCAAAATTCACTGCAAAAATACATGAATGCACCGAAATGTGTATGCCCCTTTGACTAACTAGGAGAAAAAAGTAATAATGGGGAAAATAAATGGGAGGACATAAACCAAAAACAGCTGTGGGCCAGGCACAGTGGCTCACACTTGTAATCCCAACATGTTGGGAGGCCAAGGCAGGCAGATCAGCTGAGTCCAGAGTTTGTAATCAGTCTGGGCAAATATGGTGAAACCCAGTCTCTACTAAAAATACAAAAATTAGTTGGGTGTGGTGGTGCACTCCTGTAATCCCAGCTACTCTGGAGGCTGAGGCACAAGAATCGCTTGAACCCAGGAAGCGGAGGTTGCAGTGAGCCAAGATCACACCCCTACACTCTAAACCTGGGCAACAGAGTGAAAGACTCTGTCTCAAAAAAAAAGTTAAACAGTTGCATTAGGGAGATATTTCCTATTTTCTCCAAAGTTTTTATGTGATCCTTATTACCTTATAATTAAAAAAAAAAAAAAAAAATGTGTACAACTGGTTTGGAAGAAAATACAAAGGAAGGAAAAAGACCCAGGATCTCAATTCACCACAAGCCCTAGGTGATCGACAGTGCGGTGTAATGCAGCCGCTGGAAAGTAATCAACCTCAGGCAGCACACAAATGCAAGTCTTGTTACCTGCCACCTCGATCAGACCACCTCAGATCACTTATTTCAGAGACACAGTGACCACTAGGCGTATGACCAGGTGAAGAGTGAAAGAAGGGGAGAGATCCAATACCAAGACCCCAAAGACGAGGTCTTCAGCTTTTGGGAGGTTGGAGGTAACATCTGAAGGGCTGTAAAATAGACTGGGACGCAATAAATGTATCATACTACTGTAAGATATCCATAATAGGGAAAACGGAGAGAGTGGGTATATATATATGAACTGTGCTTTCTGTTCAACCTAAACTGCTCTAAAAATACAAGGTCTATTGCTTTAAAGAACAAGACAGAGATAGATTTACTGGAAATGGCTTGATATAGCTTTATATACTGAATCAAAGATGAGTGGGTAAAAATTCATGGAGACAGATTTGATGATGTCAGGAATGCCTCTGGCAATCAGCGCTATCCAAACATGAACTGTGTGGCCTCAAGAGGTGGTAAACTCCCCATCAAAGGAGATTTGCAAGAAAAGGTTAACAACTGCCATAGTGAAAGGCCAGTAATGAGCAGGAGGTGAGCCTACAAACTGGGAAACCCAGACACTGAGCGACCTGGTTGACCTGCCCATCTAAACAGAGTCAATACGCCGAACATGTTTGCTAAGTCATGGTCTCTAATTATTGTGATGGGTGGGAGCAACCTGATAGAGTTTTTACCTCCTGAGGAGGTAAAGACCCCAACACCCTGACACCTTTCCCTGCAAGCTCCCCTGGGAGAGAGCAACCCCACTCTCCATAAAGAGCACGCATTGAGCTGGAGCTCCAGGTCAGAGGACGCCCACTGTCCAGCACTGGCAACAGCTCATGGCGAAACACGGCTGGGCGCTCAGGGGAAGGGCTACACTGGGGCTCAAAGAAGATGTAGAAGTGACAGAGAAGGTGTCCAGCCTGGGCAACAGAGTCGGGCGTGACTGCCAGCAGTGCTCGGGGTGGGGGATGTGTGGTCCCAGGCCCCTCCCAGGGGTTCCAAGGGGATGGTGGCTCTGGGGCAGTGGCTGGTTGCCCAGTGACCTGGGCATGTTCATGGCAGCCCAGGACCAGGGCTCAAGCAGGCTTGGCTGTGGGCACGGTGGGGCAGAGGAAACCAGAGCTTGGGCCTGCAGCCTTTACAGTCCTGAACTTACTCATAAACAGATCTGAGCTGTGGACAGCACAAAAGAAAGAGTGGGGAAGGATGAGAACTAGAATGTAATGTCCCTTGGGAGTGGGGCATCCAGGGTCATAGGGGTTTAACAGACAGCCACCCAATACCACACTGAGGAATCCAGAGGTCATCTATCCTTCCCTAAAAGGCAGTGAAGATGCTATTGAAACAGATATTAAGTATGACAGCCTGTCTCACTGACTTGCAAGGGCTTTGGCAAGGACAGTGTCCCAGAGGTCCTGGATGTGTCTCTGCCTTACCCCAGGAAACTGAGATTAAATCAAAGAAAGTAATGAGGTCCTTTAGTTGTCTCAAGTCAGATGCGTAAAAGTTATCTAAAGCCTTTCTCAATAACTTGAGCTCCAAGTGGGATGGCTTCAGGGAGCGAAGGAGCCTGGGTGGGGAAGGAGGTTGTAGGGATGTGGCAGAGGCCACTGAATAGACACCCAAGTCACTTCCAGCCACGGATATCTGCACAGACTAGGCAAATGCAGGGGTTCTGACCTTGCAACCGCACACACACAGCTGGAAGCGGAGCTGGTCCTAATGCAGGGCCTCGGATGATGTCATTTGACAGAGACTCCAGCACTCCCAGGGGGCAGTGCCAGCTCTAGTTGGAGATCCTGAGGCACCTCCACAGGCCACAGAGCTTGAGAGTTGTGCAGGGTGGGGGCGGGGGACGAGACGCAGTGACAGGGGGCAGGCAGATACCCCGCGGCCCCCCACACACGCCAGCTGTGCTGAAACCCTGTAAGTGAAGCTGGGCACAAAGACTTCTGGGCAGAGGAGAGGTTGGGTAAGAAGGCAAAAACAGAGACGAGAACACAGGGCAAGGGAAGCACTAGGAAGGAGGGGCGTGGGGGGTGGGAAGGAGGGGGCGTGGGGGGTGGGAAGGAGGCCTGTTCAGGTCTCCCGCCCTCTGTTCTGGGAGGGAGGAGGCAGGGATCCCACCCAGGGACCAGGCAGGTAGGCGAGAAGAGAACCCTGCAGCCTATTTGAGGCCAGAAGTGGAAGGACCAGGTGTGGGGAGTCTTTGACTACTTGCAGAGCGCTGAGCGATTGTGTGGGGAGAGGGTTTGCTCTGAGGGCCGGCCAGGAACCAGTACAGCAACGCCCAGCAACGCCGGACAATCAGCTGCGGCTGAAGAGTGTACTGACACTCATCCTGAGACTCCTGGGACAAAAGCAGGGTGGCAGGAGAGGAGAGACAGCAGGGGCATGACTAAACCAAGGCAAACAGAACCTGGCTGTGGGCCAGGAGAAACCCCCACCCTGGCCACCACTCCCAGGACTCTAAATCCCAGGTCTCTAAACTCTAGGTCCTTCTTGCCCGAGCAGTCATTTCTGGTCATCTCTGTCCCACCTCAGTCTGCAAGGTTCGCTGGGATCCTCAGCACTGGCTGAGGCTTGGGATTACAAACCCAGGCCCTCCTGACAATCAGGCCTGGCTGCCTGCCTCCCAAGCTAACCTCTCCCCCTGAGCATTCTGGGCCAGCCCAGCAGCACTGTGATCTCCAACCAGCCCATTCCGGACCAGGCTCAGGAACTTAGAACACTGGCTCTTTTAGGCAAAGTGGGGTATGTGAAAGCTCCTTCAAGGCCTCTCCAATCCAACCCCTCACTCTCCCCGCCACCACAATCTCAACCCCTTTAATTTCCTCTCAGTCCCCACCCTGCCCCACTCCCACGCAGCTTGTCCAGCCTCTGCTTGGCCACTCATTACACTCCAGGTAATGAGCAGTTTCTACATAGGTAATGAGTACAATACCTAATACCTTCCAGGCAACCTCAGACTATAAGCAGCTTGAGAACAGGAACTCTGTCCTATTTGATTTTTGTTCCTCTAGACACAGGGCCTCACATAGAGTGCATACCTCACAGATGAATGTTTGCTGAATTAACAAATCAGTAAATAGATCACAACATCTGGGGGAAGTGCTGACCTTGCTAAAGCCAAATCCTGCTGGCTTGATGCCTGCCCTGTCCTGCCTTCAGGAGACCCACTAATCTGTCTGGTCCTCAGCCTCAGACTGTGTTTCTTCTGCTGCTAAAGGATATCAACCATGTCTCCCCCAGCTTCTCTTCTGGAGAAAATCCCCAGCTCCTTCTCTGTTGACACCCCTGGCCTCAAGACAGCCTTATCACTTCCACAGTGAGCACAGTCCCGTTTGTCACAGTTCCTCTTCTGCAGCACGTGCAGCTATATGAGCTCACAGACCTCACAGTTAAGGGGAAGTGGGGGCTCCTAATTAGGTCATACCTTCAAACTCTGTTCTGTGACAAAAGTTCCAGCAGGCCCCGGACATCCCACTGAGTTCCATGGCTCAGAACAAGCTAAAGTCAAGGCACTGACTTCCAGCAAAACTCAACAAGGCTAGAAGGTCTGTGCTCTTTGTATCCCCAGTGTCTAGTACACCATCTGGCACACACTAGAAAGCAAAATATTGTTAAAGAACAGGTCAAAAAGGGGGTCCCTCAGAGAGCTCCTGAACTAACCTAGATGTTCAGGTTTGGTGTCAAACCCTAAGAACCAAAAGACTCTCACAAGTCACTGCATTGACCCCACCTCCTAAGGCAAGAATTACCACCATAATAATCTTGTAGTGAATGAGTCCGGATGGTGGGGGCTCATGCTCCAGTGGTGCCCATTTCCTTGCTAGACAGTCTGAGGAAAGAACGCTTTGTCTAATGCTTGGAGTTTACTTGTGTTTGATTCAATGAAAGATAGTGGACGGACTCCGTTTGGTTAAGATGTGCTCCTTCCTTCAACTGTGTAACGTACAGTCCTCTTCATGAGGGAGTGTTTGAGTCAGTGGACACCAGGAGATGCAGGGAACTGTCACCAAAGATGGGGCCAGAGAAAGAGCAATTGTGAAGTCAGGTCCTCAAGAGCTGCCAGGCACAAGTGAGAGTGTCCCAACTGAGCCAAGAGGCCAGAAGAACATCAGCAGCTTCAGGAGGCCTAGGCCCAGGCAAGGAAGCTCAGAGGTCAGGAGAGGCAAAAGTAGGACATGGATGGGCCACAGGCTGAAAGATCCTGGAGTGGAAGGCATGGTAGGTAGATTCCTAGAATGTCCTCATACGTATGGGCTGGAGCTCTTCAGAAAGACCTGAGCGGTGGCCAGTGCTGATCTGGGTGGGGCCGCAAGACTTAGAAGATGCCCAAAGACACTTAGCGTTCTCTGTGGAATAGCGAGTGCAACAGCTGAGCCCATGCCCACAGTCAGAAAGCACCAATCAGTGGGGAAGCAAACAGTGTTCGACAGACTTCAGGGGGCAAGGTGAAAGCAGGAAGACCTCACTTATGAGGCTATTGTGGTAGTTCTGCAAAGAGCAGAGAAACTGTGCTGGATGTGGAAATGAAGAACTGTAGAGATGTTTCAGGTATGCCTCAGAAGTGTCACAAGACTTTTTCTTTACAGATTGGTTGTGAGGAATCAGAAGAAAAGAAAAATCAAGGATTTGGGGCACTTAATTTGGGGCTTGAGCAATGGTGGATGACAGGCAATTTGAGAAGATCACAATAACTACAGAAGGAAGCAGCATGGACTGGGAGCAGTAGTGAAATTAAGGAGTTTTGTACTTTAGCTTCACTTTGATTTGGTTTTTACTAAATACTCTTTGAGACATTTCTTAGACATCCAACTGGAGATGTCACAACAGGGATATAAAGTCTGGGATTCAAAGAAATTAGGACTGGCTGACTACTCTTGGAAGCATTAAGACACAGACGGTAATTTAAAACCATTGTGCTGGAACACTACTGCAAGAGAATAGAAAAGTAAAAAGGAGCTGTTCCAGGACCAAGCATTGGGCCACTACAACATGGAGATCAAGCAGAGGAGAGGCCAGGAAAGGAGACAGAGAGTGGCAGGTAAAACCATGACAGTTCTGTAAAGTCACAGAGGCCAAGAAGGGAAGGTGTTTCAAAAAGGAAAGAGTAATATAGGGAACTAGTTAACAGCTAGTTACTAGTTAACTCTGGGGAGGGGAATTGGAGACTGAAAGAAGGGAAGAGGAAAACTTACTTTCCACTGTATGTCTTTTTGTACCGCTTTGAAATGTTGTACCAGGTGCACAGATTGCCTATTCAAAATATAAATAAAATAATTTAGGAGGAAGAGGAAAAGCAGCTGCACTATTAGCAGATTCTAACCACCTCTGCTGAGATATTGAGTCACTTGTGGTCCTTAGCTGGTGGATTCAACAGAATCCTTTCTCCTGTACAAATTGACTTCTTCACTTTCCTTGTTGTTGCTTTTATTATTTTACCTACTTTTTCAAATCTTAGACACAGGAAGAGGAAGGATAAGAAGAGAACCTGTGTCAAAAAGACATTTAGGAGCATCTTTCCCCCTTATGAGCCATTTGGGCGCCAAATGGTATCCAGCACAACCCAAAGGCCAGCCTCAGAGCAGACTTGCAACTGGGCGCCTTTAGAATGAACACAGGATCCAAAACAGGAAAGGCAAGGAGATGGAGGCCAGGGACAGGACAGAAGTGGCTGGTGGAAGAAGGTGAGGGAAAGGAGGTGAAACAGCATCATGTGCCAGACTCTGCACTGAAGGCTAGGAATACATAGTAAATAACACAGACACAGGGTCTGGCAGAAGTGTGGGACTAGAGCTCATGAGGGTGGCCCAGACCACAGGTAAGTCACTTTTTCACAACCTTCAGGCTCCCTATCACGCCTCAGGATACAGTTCAAAATGTCAAGGCCCTTCATGATCTGGCCTCTGCTCATCCCTCTACCTTCCTCACCACCCCAAAACCAGCCCACACTGAACCACTTCAGTTCCTCTAAACTCTTGGGCCATGCTACTCCCACCACCTGGTATGCTCTTCCCTTACCTTCTCAACCTCAGGCCTGCCACTTAACAGTTTCCAATACCACCTCCACCACGCTAAGTTAGCCATCTCCCCTTTATCCTCCTAAAACATCTCCTGTATCTAACATGCATCTTATTTATTTCTGTGTCCCCAGCACAACCGGCCTGGCACAAAGCAGGTACAAAGGATCGAGGCTAAAGGGAGATCTGAGTTCATCCTCAAAGCTGAGAAGGGCCGAAACCACTGCTCTCTTTATCGCTGGGACTCTTCAGTTCCCACCAAAGGATATCCCTAAACCCACATAAACTCCTGTGTTTGCCAAGCCTCACAGGAAGCATAACGGTAGTAGCAGGAGGAAACAAGTTGAGAAGATGGAGAATGCTCTAGACAATGAACTCACAGGCTGGAATCTCTGAAATTAACCAGCATCTGGAGAGCTGCTGAAGAACCTCTTAGAGGACCATATAAGATTACAGAAGCCATTCAATTCTTAGAAGGACCGACATAAGATCCTTGCCCCATCAACCTCTCAAACAGGCCTGGCGGAAGCACTACATCTCTCATGGCATCCAGACCCACTGCTGCTTGTGGGCAGAGTGGGATGGTCCTCTTCTGTCTAGCCTCACCACATACCTGGGGGAGCTTCACCAGGATTCCAGTTCATACCAGTTCCCAGGCCCCTACTTCCCCATGTCTAGATGCAAAATATACATAAATATTCTTTCACTGCCCAACTCCCCTTGGTCTGGGTACTCTGAATTTCTTTAAGGTCTGATCAGCTTTTCTGCACTACTATCTCCGTTCCCACTGTCCCACCATAGCCAAGCAATCCTGACCACTTCTAACTGGGCCTCAGCTCCCACAATCCCAGCTCAGGCCTAGGCCCTAGGTTCCCAAGCTACCTTAGAAAGGTTTTTGGATAATCACAGCCAGGCTTCAGGGAGGATTTTCCTGTCAGTTCTCACAAAGTGGGTCAAGGATCAGAGTTAGGATAAGGAACATCCCTGTTGGGATTTTGCCAAAGACCTACGAAGAAGTTCCTTCTAACAGAAGAACCTCAGTTCTGATGGTCAAGGCCTACCTAGAACCCAGGGCCCCTTCCAAGCTAGCTCCCAACATGCTGTCCTTCAGCAGGCTCACAGGCCTTGAGATGGAGCCCTTGCACATCCACATCACTTCAGGAAAATGGCCGCCACTGAGGCCTAGAGACACTACCTCAGCCCTACTTCCCCATCTCTGACAATAGCAGTTCCATCACCCTTGTCCTTATGTGAGTCTCAGCTCATTCAAAGGCACTATTTACCACATTTCTGAGTGCTAGAGTCCTGTTCTTTGGCCCCGCTCTGTTCTTGCTCGCTTATTCACCCTCACCATAGGCCCCATGCACATGGTCATCCCACGCTGACAACAGCCAGCTCAGTACACCCCCTGCTCCTCCTCCTCCAGTGAATAGGAGAGAATTGTCTGGCCTAATCCATGAGAGCAGGAAAACATTGTGGCATTTCCTTCCACTCCAAACCAGAGAGGCGTCTGACCTTGAACCTGCTCCTTCAGTCTTTAACAACCTCTATGAAATAAGTGCTTGGGCATATATTTGGAGGAAAAGGAGGTAGCTGCATGACACCAGCTGCCCAAGCCTCCTTTGTGCAGGAAAGAGCTCCTCTGTGGTCTTCTGAAGGGTGTAGGGAAGCTGTCTGAAATTATGATGCAAGAGGAATGCATTCTCCCAGATGGATTAAAGGCTGGGCCGTAGGCTAAGAGAGTCTTCAGGGCTATTGTCAATCAAGATGTAGAATAAAACCAGTCCTGGGTGTGTGCAGCAGATTGGACCAGCCCATAGTTGGCTTCTGTTCACCTTGATTAACACTTGTGCCTTCCACTAGGAAGCGGCACTACTCCCCCTGCCACAGAGCCTCCTGACTCCCAGATTCTCAACTTTCCTTCAGCTGTACTTCCTTGACCCAGCATGTCCTCCTTGGGCCTCTGGTTGCCTCCCAGATCATGGCCTCACCCACTAGGGTGACCTGCTGGCCTCAGCCATGCCCCACCCCAGCTACCCTTGTGTGCTGGCTCACCCCTGACACAAGGCTGGCGGCCAGAGCCTGTGGGGAGTCTGCAAAGATGGAAGGGCAGTTCTAGACCCTGAGCCTGGGCAACATCAACCCACCTTGAGAGAGATGTGGCCATGGGCCTGGGGAAGGTGGGCAGCCAAGAACCAGTCCCTCAGGTGCGGGCCGCTGACGTGAAGATGCCTGAGGTGCTGGGCAGTGTCCAGCTGAGGTCAGTGAGAAAACCTCTATGGTGCCAGCTGTTAGTCTCTCAAGTGTGTGTATGCAGGGGATTGATGACAGGTGCCCCGGATCAAATACCTGGGGGACCAGTAGAATTAGGAGAGAAGAAAAGCAGGCAATGTGGGGTGGGAGGCAGGAAATGGAAGAAAGAAAGAACTGTCACCATTACTGTAAAACAAATAGATTCCCTATACTGACACATTCAACAAAGTGGTTCAGGTCAGCCACGGTGAGTAGATCATTTCAAGCACTCTGACAGTCATACAGTAGTCCCAAGTACACGTGGATAGAGGTCATGGCCTCACCAGTCACACTTCAATCTGACGTGGGTTGGGGGTCAGGGTCAGTTAAAATCACACTTTAGTCTGGAAAGGGTCAGGGGTTGAAGTGAGGTTGGGAAATTAACTCAGACACTCACACAGTCACACTTTGGTCTGGGCAGTGGTCCCTAAAGGTCTCTGCCTTGAAGATGAGGTTCAAACACAGGAATGTGTCCGGAACATGGAAGTGAAGATGCCTAGTGCTTTTGCAAAGGAGCGGAGCAATTCAGCTTGCGGTGAGCAGGCGGGAGTAATCAGTCAGGAAAGGCTCTGGAAGCAGGAGAGAGAAAGGAGCAGGGCAGGACAGAGTGGCATTTGGCCAAGCAACAGCATGCCAGTCTTCTCACTGATAGCATCAACTCCACAAATGTTTCAGAACTAGGTTTCAGGCTGCAGATCTGAAACCTAGCCATCATCTGGTTTAATCCTTACGTTAATCTTATTTTTAAAACCCTCCTTTTACAGATAAGAAACTGATGCTCAGACCTAGATCAAACTGAGGATGCAAATCTAGCTCTCTCTAAATCCAAAACTAAGACCTTTTTGATTTCTACCAGCTGCTCCCTCACTTAGGAGCCGTTTTCTCCACTTACCAAACTTAAAAAAAAACAGATGTGGGGAAGGGGTGTGTGTGTGTGTGTGTGTGTGTGTGTGTGTGTGTGTGTGTGTGTGTGTATTTGGCATGGGCTCTGTCACTCACAGGTTGGGAACTCCACCTGTGGGGCTTGGGAGTCAGCATGGAACTGTGTAACTTCCTTGTTGATTTTCTTCCCTTTCTCTGTTCCCCGTGGTTAGGAGCAGTAAAACCCTCAGCAGCCTCACAAGCTGCCTGTATACTCGGGCTCAGGCAGAGAGAGGGAGGGAAAGTGTGGTGCCGGCTGCCAGGGGCCCGCTTGGGTGGCAGAAGGATATGAGCTGGCAGGCCACCATGAGATCCTGTGAAAGCGAGACTTCATCAGCCCCTGGGTCAGAATGTACAGCTAGTAGGTGGGGGGCTGGGGGAATGTTCTCCCAAAGGGAGGCCCAGTGAGGCAAAGGTTGGGGTGGTGACCCAGTGGATTTCTGGTTCTCTTGGGAATCTTCAGAGCAGGCTGAGTTGGGAGGTGGGGAGGAAGTGGTCATTCCCTCATTAAATGCCAAGATACCTGATCATGATTATTTGTGATAGAGCTAAGGTAAGCAGAAGTCGGCTAGCAGCTAGCCAGGCAAGGGACTAGAATAGCTTTGCCACAGTGGAGTAACCCAGGGGAAGAGGTCCCAAATGGCAGGCAAGGTCTCTCAGAGTAACCTGGGGAATCTGGACTGCCTGGAGACTTCGGACCAGCCTGAAAAAGAAGCTTCAAGATGACACTTAGAGCAGGTGAGAAGGTGGGGAACTCAGCAGCTTCAGGACACACCCGCTGGGGTACGACTACTCTGGAGGGGCATTTTCAGCCAAGCAGGAAATACCCTGTGGGCTAACTCAGTCCAATCATCTCCTCTCGAGATGGGAGAGATGAATTCCCAAAATGAGGTGTTTTTGAAATAAAAAGAAAGGGAGTGGGAGGCTGCTGAAGGAGAACGCTGAACCAGAGCAACCTCAGGAGTCACCCAGAGAGCTGCCCTACATAGGTGGGGGCCATTGGAGCCCAAACAGCACTGTGCAGGCAGGCAGGCGGCGATTTAGTCTGTCCAGTTCAGACCAAGGATCAGTTTCACCACAAGAAGGAAAGCCTGCCACCTTGCAGCTGGAGCACTGCCCAGAACCCGAGAGGCGCCAGTGCAGCATTCAGAGAGTGACAGAGATGCATCCGAGAGGGATAAAGGGAAACAGAACCCACTGATGGGGGAGACAGGCCTCAGGAACCCTGAAGCTGTGCTAAGTAGGAGGCAGGCAGGCTAAGAGGTGAACAGCCTGGATACTATTGTTAGAAGCAAATCAGAACTTCAGCACGCTTCTGATGGGGTTAGGGAGGGCTGTTCCTTCCTCAAAGCTGGTACTAGGATGGGTCATCTGATCAACCATTGCTATACCAAAGAGAAATGTTGGCTGCCTCAGTGCAGACTCCTCAGAGGGCTAGTGGTGAAAAGTTTAATGACCTCTGGGAAACATGGACAGACAAAGAAGATATTGTAACTAAAGGACCACGTATGGCCTGAGAACTGGGAACTAGCTAAGCCATCCCCACGTGGCCAGGGCTACAGAGGTCTCCACTAAGAATAGCCTGTGAGATAAAGGAGTGAGGCAGCTGGAATGCTAGGAGGAACTTGGAAGAAGTTCTGAGGGCAGATGCTTGAAAAGGGTCCACAGCCCCATTCACTCCAAACTTTTGTTTCAGTTTGAACAGGGCCTTTCAGAGCTGTGTCCAGAGGAAGAAGAGTAGGCTTTACCTGTGAGTTCAGATGAACTTATTCCGGTTCCCAATACTTCTATGATGAAGCTAGGGTGACTCAACATCACCCACACCCACACACGTGCGCACACCACACAACACATAGGCTGAGGCTAGCCCTGCTAGTAATACACTAGGTAGAATAAAGCCCATTTTTTTTTTTGACTAGCAAGGCGGTGTGGGTCCTCAACTAAGCCCAAGTGAAAAGATTCAAGGATCAGAATGGGACCACTAGACCCAAGAGATACCTCCATTCTGGAAATGAAACTCAAGCAAACCAATAAGCACTATGCAGTCCTGTGCCATGATGATCCTATGACCCTGCCAGCCTCTTCTTCTCAGACAAGAACTGCATCGTGACCATTAGGTCACAGAGCACCCTGTACTTAGGCTGTCCAAAATTGCCAAGGCATCTACTATTAATACACCAAGGCAGCCCTGCCTCCCTTTGGGTGACTGGTACTCCTTTCCAACTTCATTACAATTCCCCTCTCAGCACCTGAACCCGCTTCTGCACTTATATTTTTATCCACAACTTTCAGCTGTATACTCTGTGGCCATCAGTCACCCTGCTCTCTCTCACTGCTTCAATGCTTGCTCAACATGATGAAGCAGCCATGATGGCAGGGGATAGAAAGCCAGGGAACTTGGCTCAACAGCACAACTCCTCGTCACCAAACTGAAAACCCTGACTGGCTGCTGCCCCTGCCCAGTGCCCAACTTGACAGCAGCAATAATCAACACTGAGTGCCTCCATGCCCCTTCCTTCAAGGGGACTGGCTGGGGGTGGATGGATAACTATAATTGCCTCCGGGAGGCACCCAACACTGCTCCTCACCTCTTGAACTGCTGAGAAAGGGTCTCCAGCCCCATTCACACAACTTCAGTGATCTGCTCATATGACGGGCAGGCAGAGCTGAAGGAGGAATGTACATGGCTGCAACATGTCCCCTCCTTCATACCACATGCAACACAGGTGCTCAGAAGATACACTGGCTCACATGCACCCCACACACATGCATGTGTCTACACTCACCAACACACAAGCATGTACACATGCTGCCAGCTTCCCCACAATCCTCAGTTACACATAGACACGTAAGTGACCAGACATCTCTGCAGGGGCTGTGACCTTCATGTATTCATCTCCTTAAGTTTGTACACTGGAACCAGCCCCAGAGCTCAGTCATACCCACTCTCCGTCCCCCAGTTGCTCTGTTGGCTGCTATTTCCTAACACTCCATCAGGCACATCTCCATCCTAGAGTGACACACACCAGAGGTGGCTATGGATCAGCCACAAGACTAGAGTCATTTCATGATGTAATATCTTCATGGCACATCCCCTAGACCAAGACACTCTCCTCCCTACATTCCACCCATTAAAAATATTGACCCTCCGTCCAAGTCACTTCCCCACTGGAGGGTGTCACCCTCTTTGACTGACGCCAGCAAATAAGGAACAGTTTGTGGATAAAGCCCCCTGTGGGCAGACTGGGGAGAAGGGAGGTTACGCTGAGCCTTTCCCCACTTGGGTCTGTTTTTCTATTAAGTATACATTGCAGCGGAGGAGAGAAAGAAAAAAACCCACTAGTATGAGATAGGAACAGAAAACCTTTTCTAGCCCCAGCACGCAGCCTATCACAAGCTATCTGAACTTGGACAAATTGTCTCTCCCCTGAGCCTCAGTTTCCCCATCTGTAAAATACTTCCGAGTTTCCAGCCAGCCCTGCTCTAAAAGTATCAGGAATTATTCCTAGGCAAATCAATCTTCTTTGGAACAAGAATCATTACAAGAAGAAAACTCATTATAATGGCAATTAATCCATATTCATCTAATAGATACATACTATCTTTTAAAACTCTTCTTCATGCTGTTTGAATGCATGCCCAATATCTCAAAGGTTTAGGCTATATATTCCCAGACTGCACTAGGGGCTTCTGGTGTGGACTGTTCTCCCCCATCAAACTTTAGAGCAGGGGCAAAGCCCACAAGATTTCCCTGGAAAAGCAAGAGTCAGTGGGGGTCAGACAGACACTGCAGCATCTGGAGTCTCTAATCCAGAAACTGTAAGCCACCTGCTGAGCCTCAAACCCACCACTACCACTCTTGACCCTGCCAACTCTGTTCTAAGACTTTCTCTCCTCTCTATTTCTCCCACTTGCTCCCTAATGATCTAGTTCCCTCAGGTCCCACTCACTCCTGACCCTCCAGCCCATCCTCCTGCCGGAACCCCATTCTTGCCTCAATCTTCCTGCTTCTGCACCTCACCAGCTCCCCGGCCATGACAGAGAACATGCACAGCAGCAATAGGGCTGGCGGCAGCTGAAACCCAGACTGAGGTCTAGGCTGGGAGAGCGGCAGAGTATGAGAGATGGGGACTAGCGGGAGAGACTTGCAACAGATGAGGGCAAAGGCTGAGATAATGGGTTGGGCTGGGCTGGACACTGGGGCTTGATCAAGGGTGGAGTGGATGGAAGGAGGCTGTGATGGGGACTGCAGCAAGGGATTCTGGGGTTGAGCCAGGGCCTTAAGCAAACACTGGGAATGGGGTTGGGACAGGCCCTGGGCTGATATTTGTGACAGGGGTGGGTTCCAGGCCGAGGCCGATGGGGCCAGCCAGGGGCAGGGACCGGAAGGGGGTCCGGATGGAGTCCTGCGCAGGGGTTGGGGCCGATTTGGGAAGCGGGCGAGGGCGGGACTGGGGGCCAAGGCGGGATCGGGATAGGAATGTGGGCCGGGACAAGGGCTGGGCTGATATTCGGGGCGGGGGCGGGGGCCGACAGGCCAGCGCGGGGGCGCTCGCAGCCGACCCGCGGCTCCGCTCCCCACCCCGGGGGTGACCTCCGGTGTCCTCACGGGCACGAGTGGGGGCCGGGATCTGGTGGGAGTTCAGGCCTGGGCGACTCCGGCCGCGCTGAACTGGCGATAACCAGGCCCCAAGGCGGCGGCGGCCTCGGCTTGACGTCGGCATGACGCCCCGCCCCCGTCATCCCCCCGGCCGGCTCAATTGGTCCCTGTCAGTAAAGCCCGCCCCCGCCCTACTCTATTGGTCTCCAACTTAGTCCTGCCGGGCTTCGAGGACACACAGACTCCGCCCCGCTACCCAAGACACTGCCTTTCTCACCCAAGCACAGAGCCCGAGGTCCCCTCAGATCCTCACAGCCCCCAACGACCGGCCCACAGATGTCTCAAAGGAACCCTATCCTCACAATCCCAGAATCCCAGACTCCCCCGGATGTACGCACAGATCTCCGCAGATCCTACCCAGACACTCGCTCACAGAGATCCCGCAACACACACCCCACTTTTCAGAAGTAAACCCCCTGGGCTCGCCCCCTTGAGGCCCAATGCAAGCTCCTCAGGAGACCGCACCCACCGGGGAGGTGACTAGACCGCCGTTGCCACGGAGACTACTAGGCGTTCCAGTTGCCCTGGTGACCTGTGCCTACTCTCCTGGCCCGGGTTCCGGAGGCTTCAGTCAAGCCCCTCCCTCATCGGCCCTGGACCCCTTGTCCCTACCCACTTCCCCAGGTCATGCCAGAGCTCCTTTGCGAAGTTCTGCAGATATCCAAGTCCCCTCCCCAGATAGCAGACTTTCAGGCAAGGCATTTCAACACTCAGCGCCTGCAGCTGGGGCACGTCCACAACCAAGAGCTTTCCCTCCCTGAGGATCAACACCTCCCCCTGTCATCCTAAGGCAAGGTCTTGACCTAAGGACTTGTAACAACCAAGCCAAAACCCAGAGGTAGGTAATTTCTCCAATGGCCCTCCCCCTCCTCCCCCTAAGACCTCTGTCTCTCTCCCACCCCTCAGTCCCTTCACATTCTATACTTCTTGTTGTCGTTTTTTGTTGTTGTTGTTGTTGTTTGAGACAAAGTCTCACTCTGTCCCCCAGGCTAGAGTGCAGTGGTGCGATCTGGGCTCACTGCAACCTCCACCTCCCAAGTTCAAGTGATTTGCTTGCTTCAGCCTCCCCAGTAGCTGGGACTACAGGCACGGGCCACCATGCCCGGCTAATTTTTGTATTTTTCATAGAGACGGGGTTTCACCATGTTAGCCAGGCTGGTCTCGAACTCCTGACCTCAAGTGATCCACCCGCCTTGGCCTCCCAAAGTTCTGGGATTACTGGCATGAGCCACCATGCCTGGCCCACATTCTGTACTTTTCATCCTTACTCTCCTCCTCCACCCAATTTCCTCCTCCCCTTCTCTTTCCCCTTCCTCACCTTTCATCGCTGGTCCTCCACCCTTAGGCCCCTTTACTCTCTAGCTGACTCTGGTCATCTTCCTCCCCATAATCCTACCTCTGCCCCTAATTCCCTTCCCAAACGTCCACTTCAAAAAGGCTCTGATTAGTTTAAGGAGTGATATATCTAGTGTCTCTGGAACATGGGGGAAAAGTAGGGAGCATGGAAATTTAAGGCAGGAATCCTCAGGCTGTGTTGAAAATGATGACAGGCCTTGAATGCCAGGGCCAAGAAATTTGGACTTAATCCTTTAGACTGAGTCATGGAATGTTTTTAAGCCACAAAGTGCCAGTGTTGGGTTTGCACTTTAGAAAGATCCTGATTGGGTCAGGAAAGAGGACTACATCCTTACAGGATAAATTAGGTATATCCCCCTCCCCACAGTATCCTAGGCTCACCCCAGCACAACATCAATTTATTTGTATTGCCATTGTTGGTTATTCGGTCTTTCTCCCAGACTCAGCTCAATCTAGAGCTTAGCACAGTGGCTCAGTAAAAGCATCAGATTAGGCTCTTTGTAAAAGTTACATAAATCCATGAAAGAATGGGTGATTAAAATGCTGTGGATGGAAGTAGAGGGGCAAAGTTGTCACACAAAGGCTGAAGATGATGAGAACTTGAATAAAATTGGAAGGGAGAGGAGAGAATGCATTTGGGGAATATTTAGAAGATAGGAAATACAGTTATTGGTGCCTATTTGAAGATGGAGTCTAAGGGAAAAGGAGAAGACTAGGATAATTCCCAAAGTTCAGTTTTGATGCCTGTGGAAACACTCAGTTAGAAATGCCCAGCAGGGGCCAAGCATGGTGGCTCACTCCTGTAATCTCAGCACTTTGGGAGGCCAAGCGGGGCAGATCACCTGAGGTCAGGAGTTCAAGACCAGCCTGACCAACATGGTGAAACCCCATCTCTACTAAAAATACAAACTTTAGCCGGGCATGGTGGCACATGCTTGTAATTCCAGTTACTCGTGAGGCTGAGGCAGGAGAATCACTTGAACCCGGGAGGCGGAGGTTGCAGTGAACTGAGATTGTGCCACTGCTCTCCAGTCTGGGGCAACAGAGCGAGACTCCATCACAAAAGAAAAGAGAAGAGAAGGGAAGGGGGAGGAGAGAGGGGGAGGGCAGGGGAGGGGACAGGAGGGGACGGGAGGGAAGGGAAGGGAAGGGAAGGGAGGGAAGGGAAGGGAAGGCCAGCAGACAGGTGGATATGAGTGTGAAGTACAGAGGTTGAAAAAGGTCTGAGCTAGAAATTTGAATTTAGGAGTCATTGGTACACAACTGGAAGTAGTTGAAGCTTTGAACATGAATGACATCATTAAGGGAGGAAGATGTGTGTGGTGCTTAGACAAAACCAGGCTGCGTGCAGAGTCTTGCCTTATGCGACATAGCATTCCCCTGCACTCTCAAGAGCCAACCCCAACTTTGGCTTGGTATTGCCAGTCTCTAAAACTCCATGGTCTGACCTCCAGGGTTTTACGAAATGCCAAGGACCCTGCTCTTGGACTGGCCAAGTGGCGGTGTTCAGACTCCCTCCTGGGACATGGTTCTCTGCTACCATCTACTGATGAGATTCTAACTACTTCAGTCTTTCAATCTTTAAGTTCCACCTCCCTAACAAGCCACAGCAGCATGCCATATGAGGTCTGGACACATGGGTGAACCTCCTGGCATCACACTCTAAGACCCAGAGTTCATGTTGTTTCCCTCTGATATCTCAGGTGCACTGAGAATCTTATCCAAACTCCATAATGCACTGCGAACCCTGGGCTGTGCCCTGACTTACAGGCCCTCTATTTCCAAACTAATGAAGCCTGTACCCTGTTCTGCCACTAGATGGAAGCAGATGAGATCACAGAAGAGCCTCATACCGCCATGGATGCAGAGGAGCACCCCCTTTCAAAGGACCCCTCTGCTGAGGACTTACAGGAGAACCGTATCTCTGAAAGCTTCTTGGAGCCTTCCACCTCTGAGACCCCCTTAGAGCCCCATACCTCTGAATCCCCTTTGGTGCCATCCCCTTCCCAGATCCCCTTAGAGGCCTATTCCCCTGAAATCCATCAGGAGCCTTCCATCTCTGAGACTCCTTCAGGGACCCCTACCTATGAGGCTTCATTGGATAGTCCCATCTCAGTGGTACCAGAGAAACACCTTACTCTTCCTCCCCAATCACGAAACTATGTCTCTCTGTCTTCCTCTGATACTTTGAAGGAAGACCTCTCCTCTGAGTTTTCTTCCAATGAGGTCCCATGGACAAGGAGGTCTACCCATTTCTCTGAATCTGAGAGCCTTCCAGAACACTCTTCTTCAGGCCCTTCAGCCCAGGTCCAAATGGATGCATCTGAAAAGCAGGAGGAAGAAGCAGGAGAGGTTGAAAAGGGAGTAGATGCCAGTGACAGCACTGATCACACAGCCCAACCTGGACACCAACTAGGCAAGAAGAAGAAGAAGAAAGGAGTTAGCTGTAATTGCACCTGTCCTCTCCCCTGTCCTGTTCTCACTACTGTTCACTGTTCTTGACTTGCCCCAGGAGGAGGAGACTGGGTTACTCTTGGACATGGCCCCTTCTCTTAGTTTTAGGGCCTTCTCACTTCCCCCTGGTTACTCATCCCCTCCCATCCTAGGTTACACAGCCCGCCCAGTGGTCCCTGCTAAGCAGACAGAGCTGGTGGAAGTGGCTAAGGCAATGCATAGAGAGGAGTTTGGTGCTCAGGTGAACAATCTTTTCCAGTGGGAGAAGGATGCAGCCCTGAATGCCATCCAGACAGGTGAGCCCATGTGGCCTTACAGAGGCCTGTGACAGGCCCATGGGCATCCTCTAATCCAAAAGATCTGGGAACCTGAACATTCAGCAGATAGCTGCCCCTTTTGGAAATGGCAGTACCACCTGTGTGGAAAAGAAGCAGGCAAGTGGGCCAAGGAATACAAGGGTGGATGCAGACAAAAAGTGGGGAGATTCATATAAAGCCCAGGTAGAAACAGGTAGCTGAACTAAAATTATTAAAAACAGAAGGGTCAAGGGCCCACCCCACATATAGGGCCTAGAGAGCCTACAGACCCTAAAGCAGAGATGGCCCAGGACCCTGGACAGTCCCCAGGAGACTTGCTGTTCTGACATGACAAAGACCTTAGTCCCTTTGGTGTAACTCCATTAAAAGGCTGACACCCCTGCATGCCAGGCCCATGCTGGGTGCCCAAAAGCTTTGAGTTCTGTTACCAAAGGGGAGAGCTGTGTCCTCTGGCCCTGCTGATTCCAAGCCTCAGCCTACGATTAGTCCTCCTGACAGTCCTGTTAGTGGCATGCTGCGTACAGATGAACTTGTAAAAACGTGCCATCCTGTGCATGAGCATGTCTACCTGTGTTATGGAAATTCGTATCTATAGGGATTACCTTCAGTAAGAGGGCCACCCTGACCTGCTATAAGGATTCAGGTCTTTCTGGACTGAATTCAATAGATGTTATGACATTTATTTTGGTCCTTCATACTTCCTTTCCCTTTATGATGGGAACAGAGCTATGATGACAGGCCTAAAATATAAAGACAACCAAGTAATTCTAAATGCTTATCCTTCCTCCATGAAATTTACTTTCCCCTTTCCCATGCAGGGACCCTCCAGCTCCCTGCCCTTGCCCCCCCACCCCCACCCCACCCTGCCACCGAGCCAAGAAAGTCATAGTGATCTCATTTGTTTCCCAGTCTCAATTCAGGCATTGAAATGGCTTTGTTTGCTATATTAACATATTCGGTTACTCTTATTTTCTTGCAAATTCTGGCTGGCAAGGTGGCTTACATCTGTAATCCCAAAACTTTGGGAGGCTGAGCCAGGAGGATCACTTAATTGCCCAGGAGTTAAAGACCAGCCAGGATAAGATAGTGAGACCCCATCTCTACAAAAATAAAATAAAATAATCCAGGCATAGTGGTGCACACCTGTAGCCCCAGCTACTTAGTAGGCTGAGGTGGGCGGATTACTTGAGCCCAGGAGGTCAAGGCTGCAGTGAGCCGTGATTGTGCCAGTATATTCCAGCCTGGGTGACAGAATGTCTCAAAAAAAAAAAAAAAAAAAAATGCAGGATGTGTTCAGTTCGCTCATTCCCCTTCTTAGAACCTCCTGTCTACTCCCCACTCCTCAAGGCCACTGTATTTCTTTTTCTTCTTCAAATTGAACTTCTTCATCTTCCTGTTAAACAGGAAGTTTTATAAAGAAATTCGTGTCGGCCAGGCGCGGTGGCTCAAGCCTGTAATCCCAGCAGTTTGGGAGGCCAAGACGGGCGGATCACGAGGTCAGGAGATCGAGACCATCCTGGCTAACACTGTGAAACCCCATCTCTACTAAGAAATACAAAAAACTAGCCGGGTGAGGTGGCGGGTGCCTGTAGTCCCAGCTACTCCGGAGGCTGAGGCAGGAGAATGGCGTAAACCCGGGAGGCGGAGCTTGCAGTGAGCTGAGATCCGGCCACTGCACTCCAGCCTGGGCGACAGAGCAAGACTCCACCTCAAAAAAAAAAAAAAAAAGAAAAGAAATTCGTGTCATTCAACCCTGAACAATTATATTTGAGGTCCCCTCCTAATAGTGGGGATGTTGAGTCCTGGGTAGTCCATAACAGTCTATGTGATGTGTACAGAAATATCAAGTGTAACCTTTGTTTTTATTCATTCAACAAACATTTATTGAGCACCAACTATGTGCCAGGCATTGAGCTAGCTATGGAAGTGGTAATGCTGGTGGGGGTTCAAAGCCAAAATACTTGGCACTCTAATGAGAGATACCAATAAGTATAAGGACAATTATAATTCACTCTAATAATTGCTATAATCAAGGTTATCCTAGAATGCTGCATGAGCAGGAAAAAAGGGGCATCTTATCTGGAGTGCTTGAGGAATAATAAGCCTTGGAAGGAATGACTTCTCAGCTGATATCTGTAAGATGAGTAAGAAGAGGTGGCCAAGTAAAGAGTGCTGTAAGATGAGACATGATAGGGTAAGGCACAGCAGGAATCTACAGCAATGCACTATGCCTGATGCATAGAGTGGTGGGGGAGAAGAGCCAGCTCTGCTCTAGAAGGGCAGAATTCTGTAGGCATTTCTGTGCCAAGCTAAAAGCTAGAATTATATCCTGAGGGCAACTGAGAGTCACTAGAAGGTTTTAAGTAGGACAATAACATGAGTGAATTTCTGTTTCTGAAAGATCACTCTGGCAATAGGCTAGACCGGAGAAAGACAAGACTGGAGTTGTGAGGCTAAGAGAGGAGGTATGGAAAGGCAAGTGAATACATTGTGAGGCACTGGTCATAACCAGGTAAGAAGTAGATGGGCTTAGGAAGTAGACAGGTTCAAGAAATGCTAACAGGCCGAGCATGGTGGCTTGCACCTGTAATCCCAGAACTTTGGGAAGCCAAGGTGGGTGGATCATCTGAGGCCAGGAGTTCGAGACCAGCCTGGACAACATGGTGAAACCCTGTCTCTACTAAAAATACAAAAAATTAGCCAGGCATGGTGGTGGGCACCTGTAATGCCAGCTACTTGGGAGGCTGAGGCAGGAGAATTGCTTGAACCCGGGAGGTGGAGGTTGCAGTGAGCTGAGGTTGTACCACTGCACTCCAGCCTGGGCAACAGAGCAAGACTCTGTCAAAAAAGAAAGAAAAGAGAAAAGAAAAGAAAAGCTAACAGAGTGAAACTGACCATTGGAACACTGGATGTATAGGATAAGAGAGAGGGAAATGCCTGGAATGCCACCTAAGTTTTTGGCATAAGTAAGTGGTAGGATGATGGTGCCATTAACTGAATGCCTGGAAAAGGGTAGATGCTTGGTAGGCATGTGTTGGATGAACAGAGGACAAAGGATGAAAGCCAGGTTTGGAGGGAATAATTGGGCATAAGACATTTGAAGCGCTTATGAAACATGCTGGCCCAAGAATCTAGTAGACAGCTGGCCATATGGGTCTGAAACTCGGGAGAAAGGGCTAGGCTGGAGACATTGTTCCTATAAAGACAGCTGTGTGTTTTCTGGAGCCATACGATGCATAAAGAGATGTCATCTTGCAAATGTGATTATGTGATTATGGAACTGGACTGTATTAGACAGAATCAAAACGGCATCCCAAACAATGTCTCCTCCCCCGCCAGGCCTTGTCCACCCACAACAGGAAGGGAGTTTGGAATCAAGACAGAGAGTAGAGGGTCCCACTGGAATCCACAGCCACCTTCCAATTGTCCCACTTTAAGAGCACTAACACTTGTAACAGAATCTGAAGTATAGTCACCAGTCTCCCTGTTCAAACTCCAGTCTTCTTCATCTGAATGCTGGGCACTGATTCCTACACTAGTGCTTGGACTTGACTCCCCCTCCCCAGGTCCTCCGAGCAGGCCTTGATCTATGGGCCTCACCTCCTGTTTTTTTAATGTATCCTGCTACTCCAGACAGAATTCAGAACTCCTCTAGTGGAATCCTGGCTCCCGCCCACCCGCATTGTGACTGCCTATAGCCTGCTCTCTCAACAAAGCCTCCCTGGTGTAAGGGGGCAGTGGCACTACAGGCAATCAGCATCAAGACAGAAGCAGCAAAGCCAAAAGCCACATCTAGACAGGCTTTAGATCCTGACAGACTATGGGTAAGACAAGAAAACTTAATCTGAGGCACGGAATTGTGAATTGTGGCCCTGACCAGAGTCAAAGACCAGATGATGCCACTCTCCTTATTCGTGTTACGGAGCCTCAGGGTTATGCCTGAATACTGGCTCTCTCTTCCTCTTGAAGGAATGAGCTCATTTGTTTAATCAGGCAATCTACATTCTCTCAGCAACCATTTTGTGCCAGGCCCTGTACTAGGATTAGAGATATGGGTGAAAAGACAGCTCCCTTAAAGAACTCATGGATTAATAGGAATACAAGGGAATGGTCTATTATAATGCACTGTACTGCGATGGGAGTAGCACAAGGAGCTACGGATGGCAAGAGGAGGAGCCCAGACAGACAGGGGAAGTCAGGGACACCTTTTTGGTGGAGGTGACATTTCAGTTGAGCCTTTAATTGGGACTAAGAATCCTACACCTGGAGGTCCACTCCATGGGGCCTCATACAGGATTCTTGGCTAGAAGTTGGGGTACTCTCAGCTCTTATGGAGAATGAGAAAATCTGAATGGTGAGGAGCACCACCCTCACCTCAAGACTGGCCACGAAGTCAGGGATTCAGACCTCACTGCTGAACACCAGCTCTCAAGGGTTGTGACCTCTTACTGGTGCCTACTCTCAGGGACACTTCTTAGCCTCACTTTCCTTTCCACGCCTCCTTGCTTAGCCTCACAACGTATAATTTTTGGTCTTCACCGCTCATGACTGCTACCTACCCCTTTCTCCTGACCCTTGAAGAACCTTTGGCAGCCCTTCTTAGGTACATAGAGGGCACTGGGACAATAGCACCAGGAACACAGAGGGAGGTATTAAGGTACCAACCTGGAGACTTGAGAGGAAACCCTCCACCTACCTTCCAGCACCAGGGCTATCCAACCTCCTCCTCCTCTTCAGGACCTTCAATAACCACGCTCCTTAGGAGCCAATCCCATTGTCCATACACCTGGCCAATCATCTTCCCTTTCCTTCACCTTAGACACCTCAAGAAAACAAAGCAAAGTTCAATCCCATTGTCTGTACACTTGGCCAATCATCTTCCCTTTCCCTCACCTTAGACACTTCAAGAAAACAAAGCAAAGTTGGGCTTTAGTGGGATCAGGAGAGGAGATGAGAATCCCTGTGGTCACAGAAAACTCAGTGAGATTCATGTTCATCCTCAAACAAAATTTCATCTATAATCTTCCTGCTCAGAAACCAAAGACTCTCTTGAGTCATCTCTGGCAGGCTGACAGAGATGGAGTGGATCCTGGGTAGAAAGAGAACTGAAGACACTTGTGGGGTAATGAGAAAATCCCAAGGAAAAAGAAAATCTAAGGGGTAGAGGTGAGGACTTTCAGGTGGAGATAAAGATACCTGGGGGTGGGAGAGGTAAGTTCCCCCCACCCCCTCACCCCCATCAAGGGATAGGTAAGAACACTTTGGGGGAGCTTAGAATTTTTTTACTTCTCACTTTTCCTTATTAATCCTGCACACCTAGGTCTCTACATTGGCTGGCGCTGCCCCCATTACCTATGGGACTGTTTCCGGATTGGGGATGAGTCCAGATGCTTTTGTGGACACTTGTTGAGAGAGCACCGGATCATCTCAGGTAGGGGAGAACTGACCAGCCCCTCTTGAGTGTGGAGGAATAACTGTACTCTGTCATGTCTTGGGAAGTATGAGAGAGAGCATGTGGCTGGGCGCAGTGGCTCACCCCTGTAATCCCAGCACTTTGGGAGGCGGAAGCAGGCAGATCACAAGGTCAGGAGATCAAGACCATCCTGGCTAATATGATGAAACCCCGTCTCTACTAAAAATAATAATAATAATACAAAAAATTACCTGGGCATGGTGGCACGCGCCTGTAGTCCCAGCTACTCAGGAGGCTGAGGCAGGAGAGTCACTTGAAGCCAGGAGGTGGAAGTTGCAGTGAACTGAGATCATGCCACTGCACTCCAGCCTCGGTGACAGAGCAAAACTCCGTCTCAAGAAAAAAAAAAAAGCATGTTTGAGTGCGTAGGGGGTGACGGGGATGGAGGATGGGGTTGGCACAAGAAGGCAAGGTCCTATCAGATACTGGTCTAACCCTACCATCCATCCCCAATCCCACAGACATATCCGTGCCCTGCAAGGTGAGCCAGTGCTGCTGCCTCATGTTCTGCTTTATCCCATCACGCCCAGAGGAGGTGGGTGAGTTCTGGCTCAAGAGACGGGCCACCTTTGACCCCAAGGCCTGGAGGGCCCAATGTCGCTGCAAACACAGCCACGAAGAACATGCAGCCACTGGGCCCCATCCCTGCAGGCATCATGGTAACTTCTAGGGCAAGAGGCATATTGGGAACAGGGTAGGTGGGGATAGGATGCAGTCTGGGGATAATGATGGGGAGCGAGTATGAGAGCCTTGGGCATGCGGTCACTGAGGAAGAGATGAGAATGTGATCAGCTCCTGGGGATACCACCATTTCCTAAACTCTTCTTGGTTGCAATTTTGCCCCAGGCTGTTGCTGCGGCTGTTTTGAGTCTAATTTCCTCTGTGCGGCCTGTGACCGGCGCTGGGAGGAACATGGGACTTTCTTTGAGACCCAGAGGACCCGGCGACGAGGAGGGAGACCTCATGGTGAGGCAGAAACCTGGGACAGGGGGCCATTCCAGGGTCTGTAGTCAGAAGGCCAGGCAGGAAGGCACTCTCATCCTCGACCATCCCCTCCAGGACTAGCGCGCTCCCTCAGCCCACCTCCCCACCACCCACCTACCTGCATCCCACATCTGCACTGGTTTTCACCCCCAGGAGCAGACTATGTACCTTTTGCAGAGATGTCTGTGCTCCGAGAAGCCATCCTCAGCAACTCTGACTTCGAGGCCCTGCTGATACAGGGGCCCTCTGGCCTTCCCAGCTCCCACCCTAGTTCCCCGGGACTCCCTGCCTCACACAACCTCCAGCCTGGCCTCCCTTCTGACCCCCATACCTGACCCTTTCACCTCTGCTCTTCCCTCCTCCAGGGACAGACACTGTCAGCAACTGGCACAGGCCTTTGTGAGTCTGGCCCAGATCAGCAATAAAAGAGGAGTCACTGGAACCTGACTTGGCTCCATATGGGACAGGTAGATCCCAGCCCAGGGAGAGACTGCCTAATAACTTAGAGTTGACACCTATTAGGCACAGGAGAAAGCCTGGATCTGGCCATCTGCCTCCATCACACCCACATTCAAGCTGCCTGCTTGAAGGAAAGTGGCTTCAAGGAAGCCAAAAAGGGAGGACGTTTCAAGAAGGATAGAGTGGGAAGTGATGTTAGATGCAGTTGGGGCACCAATAAGATAAAGACTGAAAAGTATCCATTGGGTTTTGCAGTTAGAAGATCTCTGGGAGCTTCAGAGAGTGCAGTTTCACACTGGTGCAGTGGAGGCAGGAGTCAAACAGCAGTGAGTTTCAAGGAGTCTCTTAAAGAAGCTTAAGTCAGACAATATCCAGAGGGAGTTGTGGAGTCAAGGAAGCACTTTCATAGACAGGAAAAGGAAAAGAGGCCAGTAGACTAAAGGACCTTGAAGGACCCAGAAGAGAGAGAAGAGATGCCTGGTGAGACAAGATCCCAGAGATGGAGGAAAGGGATGAGGTCAAAGCAGAGGTAAAGGGATTTGCTCTGGACAGGAGAAACACCACTTCCTATGACCAAGAGGAAGGAAGAGGATGGAGCCTTCCCAGAGTTTCAGGGAACAAGAACCTGTGGAAGTTCCCCTCTGATGGCTTCTATATGCCCTGTGAAGTAGGAGATAAGGCCAATGGCTGGGGGTCCAGGGGGAGAGGGATAAGAGTAGGGAGTAGGAGACAAGAGAAGAAAGGGGAAGGTTTGGGAAGGCTAATGTAGGGAACTGGAGAAAAACCTGATCAGTGGGTAGTTTAGGATTTGGGCATGGTTGGAAGTGAGAACCTAGTTAGAGGAGCAGAGAAGCCAAATATTTAATGGGTTGATGATGTGAGGGTATCAGGGAGGATGATCAGGAAGACTAAGCAAAAGAAGGCGTGAGGATGTGAAGGGAGCATACGGTACCAACAGGGAAAGAAAGTGATGCCAGGAGGCAAATGTCAGATTGAAAAAGGGAGCAGTCAAAGGAAGAGAAGTCTCTAATGAGGTACAGTAGCAGATATAAGGGCAGGGGTTGAAGTACAGGAGACAGTGTTCAGAGGCTGCAGAGCATAACATCTTTCAGATGAGGGCAACTGTAGGTGATAAGTGCTTGGAGTAGAGAAGACTGTGGGCCAGGGATCAAAATCAGTGAATGTGGGAAGTGACTAGGAAGTCCATAGGTTCTTATGGGAGTAGGAGATTCTAACACTAATAGGCTCTGTGACCCCACACAAGTCACTGTCCCTCTTTAGGCTGAGTTTCTGAACCTGTAAAATAGGAATAACCTCTGTGTTGCCTGCTTTCTATGAGAACCAAAGAAATAACTAATTTCAAAGTGCTTTGTATCCACCTATCCTCCAGACTGGCTTCCTTCCTCTTCCCAGATCCCAGATCCACTTATCTCTTGCCCTTCTCCAGGACAATTCTAGGGTCTACCAGTGTCCCAGAGGCACCACAGAGAACTGCAACCTCTGGGGCCCAGAGAAGAGGCCATTCTACATTTCCTCACAATTAGGGGGGCCATCTGTTCCTCCAAAGGAAGGAATGTAATCTGGACTGCTAGGATCCCTGGGGAAAATCACAGAATCAAATGTCTGCCCTTTGGAGGAGAAAGGACTTTCTAACAATAATACAGCTATACAAAAGAGATTGTACTATCTCTAGAAGAGAGTTCGCCAATAGTAGTTATATGCGCCATGATAACCATTCACCTAAAACTAATTCAACTAATAGTCAACAATAGAGTTAGGATTACTCTATTAATACTCTATGATAAACTCATTGAAGGAAATAACAAGCAGCTAATACAAACTATATTTACATAGACTGTACAAATATGAAAAATTGATTACACATGGGTTAGTATCATATGCAATACATAGTATTACATATTGTGAAAAAATGACAGGAAACACCAGATGTTATTCATTCAACAACTACTGAGCACCTATATGTATCAGGCCATGTGTTAAAAAAAAAAAAAAGAAAAAAAGAAAAACCAAAGAAACACAGTGGTAACTTGTTCTATGTGATGTCAGACTAAAACTTACTTAGTGTCTGAGAACATTAGTATTTTGTGACCCCACGTTTCTTATGTCAAAAATATATATTCCAGCAGTGCAAACCTGACTCATTGAACACGCCAGGCACCGGCCGGGTGCGGTGACTCACACCTGTAATCCCAGCACTTTGGGAGGCCGAGGCGGGAGGATCACGAGGTCAGGAGATGGAGAGGAGACCATCCTGGCTAACACGGTGAAACCTCGTCTCTACTAAAAATACAAAAATATTAGCCGGGCATGTTGGCAGGCTCCAGTAGTCTCAGCTACTGGGGAGGCTAAGGCAGGAGAATGGCGTGAACCTGGAAAGCGGGGCTTGCAGTGAGCCGAGATCGCGCCACTGCACTCCAGCCTGGGCGACAGAGCAAGACTCCGTCTCAAAAAAAAAAAAAAAAAAAAAAAAAAAAAAAAAGCCAGGCACCGAGCTAACTGTATCACACACCTTTTCTGATTAGAAAAGAACAATGAATACATACTCCTTTGCTTATTATAATAGTTGTGCGGTAAGATAGGACACTCCTATATCCGCCTGCTCAAAAAAAAAAAAAAAACAAATGCAAAAACCACAGAATTTTTAACCTATGGAGTGAATGCGTTAACAAGAACATAGAATTAAGGAAGAATTTCCCTTAGATAAGTACATTAAAATCTCCAAAATGCTCAAGGGACTAAAACTGCCCTTGTGGAGAAAATGCTGCGCATCAGCCCCGCCAGTTAAAACAAACAAACAAAAAAAAACAAGCAAAACCAAAAAAACACACCTCATCCCCGTTCACCTTTAGCCCCATCCAGGGTGGTTCTTGGAGCCAATAAGCGCCGGATGCCCCCAGAGCCCCGCCCTCCTCCTGGCCAAAGCAGCGAGAGGGTCTAAAATAGCCCTTTCTGCAGCAGGTGACGGAGCCACGCCCCCTTCCTCCCCGCGCACCAATAGGAACCAGACCTGAAGAGGACGAACCAAGAACGAAAAGCCCCACCCACTCGGGAGCCGCAACCTAGAAGCCAGGGTAGTGTATCAAATCCAACTAGGAGAAAATCCCACCTCCAGGCTCCTTAATCCTTCCAATGGAGTGGAAGTTTCGCTCATAGCGAAACTAGTTAGGGGATCCAATGGGAAAAGAACGTTCACACGGACTACAAGTCGAAGCCAATGGAATGGAAAATTGTCCTCGCGTTGGTAGAAGCAGCCAATGAGATGAAAAGAGCCCGCCTCCAAAGTGGCTGCAGAGCCAATGGGGCGAATCGTGCCCAGGGGCGCGCTCCAATGGGGTAGCAGGGCTCGCCCGGCCGCCGCTACCCCGCTTCCCCGCTCCCGGACTCCCCACCCCCGGCCGGCCGCGGAGCCGAGTGCTGACCCGGGTGAGAGGTTCCCGCGGCTCTGGGAAGATGGCGGCAGTCGTGGTGCTGGCCACCGGATTGCGCGCGGCGCGCAGAGCCGTGGCGGCCACGGGGGCGCGCGGGGGGCAGGTGAGAAGTGGCGCGGGAGCGAGTAGGGGGTCCTGCGGGCTCCGAAGCCATCCGGGGCCAGGGCTCCCGAAGGCGCGCAGAGCCGCGCAGAGGTCCTGCCTGTGGCCTCTGCCCCTCCGAGGCACAAGCTCCGGGGCTGTGCGGTGAGGTCGAACTGGTGGCTGCAGAGAACAAGCTAGTGATGATCCCCGCCCTGCGCAGGCCCGGTCGCCGAGGTCGGGACAGGGTCACTGCAGCCGCTGCCGCCTTCTTTCCACTGCCTGCAGCCCAGCTGGCCCGGTGCCCCCTGCAGGAAATGAGCTTTCTCTTCATGGAGCCAGTGATCTGCCCTCCTCAGGCCTCTGGCCTCCTAATGAGCACTAGTGTTAACCGCTCTTCTGCACTTGCCAAAAGTGGCTGGGAGGTCAGAGAATTCATTCCCTCCCATTCTCCCCCAACGTGATGCACTGACGTCAGCCTTTTTGAATCCCCTGGAAACTGGGACTGCCTTACCAGCAGTCCCCTGGAGCTAGGGAAGCAGAGATCACTTAGCTGAACTCTTACCTCCACTCATTCAAGGGACAAGAGTTAAAATTCAGAGTCACATGTGACACCCAGATGAGGGGTCAACTAGTGTCAAACAGGGCGATTGCATTAAAACCTAAATAAAACAGGCGACAAGGCTTAAAAGATCAGAAAACAAGTAACGGAAATAAGTGGAAATGTACTAACAAGGTGAGAGTGGAAAGAGATTCAAGCCATCGTAAGAGATTATGGAAACCACTCTTTTATTTTAGAAGCTGAAAGAAGGAATTTATCTGAGGTAATTCAGTGGTGTGGTAAGATAGGAACTGAGACCAAAATCCCCAGTATCTCATTCTAGATCCTTTCCCTAAACAGTGCTGTATTTCATAGACATGTGAGCAGGAATCAACTGCACTGCTGAATCCTGGATAATAATACTGCCTGTTATCTAACCAGGTCCAGCACCATCTGGCCCTACCCTTTGCTGCTGGTGCTCTGAAATTCAGGAATTTTCCTCCTGGGTGGGAACCACAAATAGGTTCTTAGAAGGACAAAGTTAACAACTACCAGAGCACAGCTTCTGCCAGCACCCTCCTTTGAATATGGTCGATCTACCTTCAGGTCCGAGGAGCTGCAGGTGTGACTGATGGGAATGAAGTGGCCAAGGCCCAACAGGCAACTCCTGGGGGAGCAGCCCCAACCATCTTCTCCCGGATCCTGGACAGGAGCCTCCCAGCTGACATTCTTTATGAGGACCAGCAGGTGGGGTGCTCTTAGGACCCATCCCCTTAGGAATGTTGTCGATACCATCCACCCTGTTGAACTAATGTGGCCTCTGGCCTGTCACTGCCCCCAGTGTCTTGTGTTCCGTGATGTGGCCCCTCAGGCTCCTGTGCACTTCCTGGTCATTCCTAAGAAGCCCATTCCTCGGATTAGCCAGGCTGAAGAAGACGACCAGCAGGTGGGAAGAACAGGGCCAGGGTTTGGCTGGGAAGAGCCCTGGACCCAGCTAGAGGTCTTGCTTCCTATGAATGAAGCCACCTATGTCCCTCTGCTCTCCCTATAGCTTCTAGGACACCTACTCCTTGTGGCCAAGAAGATAGCAAAGGCTGAGGGCCTGGGAGATGGATACCGACTTGGTGAGTGACTTTTGGCCCTTGGTCCCTCACCTATGAATTCTCATTCCTACTTCTCAATATGATCTTCATTCTTTGACCTCTGCCATGATCCTGACTCCCTAACCCCAAGCTCAATTTCAGTGATCAACGATGGGAAGCTGGGTGCACAATCTGTGTATCATCTGCACATTCATGTACTTGGGGGCCGGCAGCTCCAGTGGCCCCCAGGTTGAACCTGCCAACTGACCAAAGGACACCAGACTCTGGATGCTTGGATGAAAAGGGAAAAATTGACCCTGTGATACTAATAAAACTGTTATCCTTTAATTATGCTCTCTTGTCTTTAATATAAAATTTTTTACCACAAAGGGGAAAGAAAACTGATTCAGGGCTATGATGCCCCTTGACTGGTCTGAGTGAAAGACACTGAGGAGGGTCCAACCTGTGGTTAAAGGTTGCCTGCAGATATGTAAGTCTTCTTGACAAGTGGTCCACCCTAGGTCAAGCTTCTAGAAAAGTTAACAGTAGGAATGAGCCTAAATGAGTAGGAAGAAACTGAAAGCCAGAAGAAACTGAAAGCCCATCCTGGCCCTTCTTCATAGGTCAAACCAGGTTCTAAGGGGGCTTAGGAGGAGGGCTGTCAATATGAGGATCTTTTATTAGAGGAGGAGTAATCACCCAAACAAAAGCGGCTGCCTTTTCACTATTCCATGTCTCACCATTTTGCTCAAGCTAGTTTGTTTATTTTCAACCTTAACATTTGTTAAAGACCCTACTGACTTTTGAGAATGAACTAAGCAAACTAAAGGAAAGCTACTGTTGCGTCTCTGCAAACACCAAGTAGGCTGTTACCTAATGCCACAGGGCTGTGCCTGTTTACAACATATCCCCATAAAGCATCACCTTAGAAAACCGCAAAGACTGTTCTGTTCGGGCGTGGAGAGGGAGGTCTTAAGTCAGCGGAACCCTAAAACCCAGTCTGAGGCGGATGCCGCCGGAACCGGAAAGCGGTCCTCCCTGACAGCACTAGGCTGAAGACTTCCGCCCCGCAGAGGATTTGCCTCCACCCCCACCTGCAAGTCCGCCTAGCTCTACTTCTGCGCAGGCTCCAGGAGTTGTTTGCTGTCTCTATGGCAACCCAGTAGCTGGAGTCTGAAGATGGAGACCAACGAGTCTACGGAGGGATCACGGTCGCGGTGAGAGCCGCAGCTCTGGCTGCAGGCAGAAGGGGACGAGGAAGGTCAGCGGACTTCCTCTGCTGCGCTTTTGACAGCCTTGTCGTTTTTGCTTTCTTTCAGATCTTTAGACATACAGCCCAGCTCCGAAGGACTGGGGCCCACTTCGGAACCGTTTCCTTCTTCAGATGACAGTCCTAGGTCGGCCCTGGCAGCTGCAACCGCAGCAGCTGCAGCGGCTGCATCAGCTGCTGCAGCTACCGCAGCCTTCACCACCACCAAAGCAGCTGCATTATCTACAAAGACCCCAGCGCCCTGCTCTGAGTTCATGGAGCCATCCTCTGACGCCAGCCTTCTTGGGGAGCCCTGTGCGGGACCCAGCTTTACCCACAATATAGCCCATGGGAGTCTTGGCTTTGAGCCCGGCTATGTTTCCTGTATTGCTCAGGACCCTTGCACTACAACCGACCATAGTTCTAACTCTGACGTTGTTCCAGGCTCTAGCTCTGGGCCTGTTCTTGGCTCCAGCTCAGGTGCTGGCCATGGCTCTGGCTCTGGCTCTGGTCCTGGTCATGGCTCTGTCCCTGGCTCTGGCTCTGGCTCTGGTCCTGGCTGTGGCTCTGTCCCTGTCTCTGGCTCTGGTCCTGGTCATGGCTCTGGCTCTCATCCTGGTCCTGCCTCTGGGCCTGGTCCAGGCACTGGCCCTGACTCTGAGCTCAGCCCCTCTATTCCTCCAGGGTTCAGAAACCTGGGGGCAGATCGAGTCCCTAACTATACCTCCGGGAGTCAGCACTGCCCCTGGGAGCCCCAGAAACAACCACCTTGGGAATTTTTGCAAGTTTTAGAACCGGGTACCCGAGGACTATGGAAACCCCCAGACATTAAAGGGAAGCCTACGATTCACTATGAAACATTGCCACGGGGCCAGTGCCTCCTCTACAACTGGGAGGAAGAGGTATTAAAGTTTTGGCCTGCTCCTTTTTCTTGAAGGCTGCCCTCAGTTTCTTAGGGGAGGCAGTAGTTCATATAAGGGTGGGTACCAGAAGGGATATTATAGTCATTTAACTTGGGATCCACAGAGAGCCACCAACCACCTGGATCAAGTCCCAAGCATGCAGGATGGCTCTGAGAGTTTTTTCTTCCGACACGGACACCGGGGACTGCTGACTATGCAACTAAAGTCACCCATGCCCCGCAGCACCACCCAGAAAGACTCCTACCAGCCACCAGGAAATGTCTATTGGCCACTTCGAGGTGTGAAATGTGAGAGAGTGTAGGCCAGAACGAGTCCAATAGTCAGAGGGAAAAAGAGGAAGGAATTTCTGGTGGGGCTGTGGATTGTCCAATGGATATAAGGGCAGAACCCCCAAGGTCTTTCTTCCTTTTCTCAAGTTAGTTTCTTCTGGGCCACCTTCTTAACCAGACCCCACCCTGCCCACCCCCCGCCCACTCACAGGGAAGCGTGAAGCCATGCTGGAGATGCTTCTGCAGCATCAGATCTGGTAAGGGATTGGGTAAAAGGGAAGAGGGAGGGGGAGGAGAAAAATTGGGTGAGAATGGCCTTGACACCTCTCGGGCTACATAGTAAAGAGGTACAGGCAGAACAGGAACCCACAAGGAAGCTCTTTGAGGTCGAGTCTGTGACACACCAGGACTACCGAATGGAGCTGGTGCAATCAGGGACTCCTGCCCCAGCAAAGGTGAGAATCCACTCCCCACCCCCTGCCACTTGCACAGCTGGGCTCTGACAGGCTGTGGTCAAGTACCGGGCCCAGAGGTTGAGAGAGAGGGCTGAAGGCCAGGAGTTACTCAGTACCCTCCCTCACAGCCTCACGACTACCGCCAGGAGCAGCCTGAGACCTTCTGGATACAGAGGGCACCACAGCTACCGGTGTGTGAGGGTGACTAGGTATTGGGGGCAGAGCGGGGCAGGAAAGGTAGGGCAGAGTTGTTTTGTTCTGGCTTGGGGAAAGCGAGACCCATCCTCATCCTGGCACTCCTCCAGGGTGTCAGTAACATCAGGACATTGGATACACCTTTCCGGAAGAACTGCAGCTTCTCAACACCAGTACCCTTGTCTCTGGGGCAACCTTTGCCCTATGAACCTGAGAATTACCCCCACCAATTGGGAGAAATCTCTTCCCTTCCCTGTCAGAGAGGAAGGCTGGGTGGTGGAGGGGGTGAATGACTCCTGTCAGGGGTGAGGAGGGAAGTGGGATATGGAATATGGAATCTATTTCTGTCTGCACTAGAGAGGTCAGGAGGAAGTTAATTCTCACTGTACTTGAAGAGGCTTTACATAAAGGGTTCTCTCTCATCCCGAGACTGCTAATTTAGTGATTATGTGAGTCACTGCGTGCATACCCCACAACCTTTCCTTGGGATTGCCCCATCCCACACTATGACATCAGAACTTTTTTTATTATTGTTTTATATTTGACCAAAATATTCTGGTTTAGATACAGATATTTACAGAAAGTAGGGAGGAAGGGGACCAAGCCAGAGAGGGACAGGTATATGTACAGGGCTGAGCTGCAGAGGGCTACAACTTCCATATAAGGTAGGTTTTTTGTGGCTGTTTTCCATTACATATGAAAATGTCCATTTCTGGTGTGTGCAGACATGGTGGCCACTGCCCACCCAGGTACCAGCAGCAGGAGACTGTCTGACTTGGGAAGAATGGGGGTTTACAGGAGTCCAGGAGGTCCTTTCCGCTCTCCTAAGAGCCAGTATGTTCGCATCTTTCCTTTTCCCTGGAAGTGGGAGAGTGGACAGGATTCAGATGCTTCAGCGTTAGTCCCTTTGTCTCCCTCTCTTTCCCCATGATTCCCATAATCACTTTCACCCCCCTTTCCCATGCCTCCCTCCCCATGGCCTGCCGTCACCTTCATTTCCACATCCCCCCGGAGCTCTAGCTGGAAGCATCCTAGCTCATCTAGGGCATCCTTGGTGGTAGAGGAGACATGGATCTTCAGCGCTGGGGTGGGTGGGATAGGGAGGATGATGGAAAAAGGAATCAAAGAAAAGGCAAAGAATTGGTGATACTGTATAGCATCATGCCCGACCAGCCATTCCAGGGAAGCTCCCAGACCTCCCAATGCATATCTATTAGAACCAAAATATGCCCAAGGATGCAACACTAAGGAACTGTGGTCTCCCAGATTAAGAGATTGGAGGAACTATGAAAAGAAGAAAAGGGCAAGATAAATTGAGGCCAACAGTGGGGTTGAGGGCTAGTGTCTTACCTTGACCATTAGACTCCATTCGAGAAGCAGTGTTCACTGTGTCTCCAAAAAGACAATAACGGGGCATCTTCAGGCCAACAACCCCAGCACAGACTGGCCCTATGAGAAGAAACAGGTTGGGAGAGTCTGGGAAAGGTGGAGATTAGGGCTGGAGTGAGAGTCAGCCTTACCAGTATGGACCCCTATGCGTAGCCTCAGCTGGTCATGGGGTCGGTGGCGGATGCGAAAGGAAGAAACTGCATCTAGTAATGCTAGGGCCATACGAGCAATTTCTGGTGCATGCCGTTGACCATTTCGGCCTGGGAGGCCAGATACCACCATGTAAGCATCCCCAATCGTCTCCACCTGATTGAGAGGGGGATTAAAAGGTCACCTCTATTTGTATTCATGGGGATGGGAAAGAGTAGAGGGAGACAAGCTGGACATCATCCTGACATCCTGGAGGCCAGAATATTGACTAGAAAATAAGTGCCATGGTCCTGAGAGTCTAGGGGAGACGAGATGTCAAGGGAATCTTTAAGTCCTCTTTCTCCACCCAGCACCTGGTGAATACTCAGTACACATTTGTTGAATGAATGAACACCCTGTCTGCAGCAGGACATGGACAAATAGGCTCTGCCATCAGGAAATGGGAAGCAAGAAAACAGGCTAAACTCAAGAGGACAGAGGCTGGTAAGGAGGTAAAGCAGGCCCAATGAAATGACCAGACAGCCCAAACTGTCAGGAGGAAAGCAGGCATTTGATGCTGGTAATTGTACCAAAGGTATGTAAGAGAATGAATGTCATTGTTCTGCCACATGCCAAACAATGTTAGGCACTTTCCATACAACAAATCTATTATTCCCATCTTACAGATAAAACAACTGAGGCTCAGGGAGATTCTGTTACTTACCTATAAGGCTACATAGTTAGTAACAAGCCAATATTCAAATTCAGATGATTTTTACTCCCAAAGACAATAAATCCAACTCAATGACTTCAACAAAAAGTTTTACTTTTTTGTTGGGAAAACAAAATATATTTTCCCTCACCCCACTAAATCAGTCTGGACCCACATCCTATATGATTCTTCCATGTCTGGAGAGGACTGGAGAGAAATGTTGGATAGGCTGTATTTATACTCCAGGGAGATAGGAGCTAAATCTCATGATGGTTCTAATTAGGGAAGCCAAAGGATTCACAAGAAATTCGACTGGAGTGTACAATGACAGTGCTGGAGCTACATCTGTTTACAAAGTACACCCCAGCACCAGGATGCTGGGGCCCCTGGAGGGAAAGCTGATCATGGGGTGGGTAAGGTGTGTGGGGTTCAGGGAGACTGGCTTTCAAAGGGGGTCTCTATTAAAGAGTCTTCTATTGAAGAGCCACCCCAGCTCTCACCTTGTAGACATCAAAGTTGTCAATTATGGCATCAAAGCAGGTATACAGGTCATTAAGAAGTGTCACTACCTAAAAGGGATAGAAAAGCAGAGGCCCTGAAACTTGTACCCAACTTTCTAAGAATTCTTAACCCACGAGCCATCACAAGATGTGGGAACTCTAGAACAAACTCATCTTCCCTGTTATCAATGAGGCTTCCCCAGGTCCCTACCCACCCGACCCCACCCGCTACCTCTCACCCATGGCTCTCACCTGCATGGGGGTGCTCTCTGCTGACAATGCTGTGAAGCCAACAATGTCACTGAAGTAGATGGTAACACTGTCAAAGGCCTCAGCCTGTACAGTCTCTCCCCGTTTTAACTGCTCTGCCACTGAACTAGGAAGCAAGGGTGCTGTGTGAGCCAAACTCCAAGAGAGTAGGAGCAGAAGAGAGAGGGAAGGTGCATGTGGCTACAGCAGATATGAGCTGAAACAAGAAAGCTGGGCTTTGCAAGTGGGAGGGAGGAAAGTGGCTGGGAAGACATTACAGTCTAATGCAAGGTAAGGCGCACAAGTGGCAGGGGCTTTTGAGGGGATCCCTGTGCATGGGAGCTGTCTTAAGTTGGGACTGTTTTACATACACTTGCTGAAGCAAGGGCATGGTAGAGCAGTGTTGTAAGAAGGGATGGGAAGCCAGTAAGAAGGCAGCACAGCTGATGCAAAGACAGAATGACAGCAAAAAATCTATAGCCAGGGGGACTCCCTGTGGCCAGCAGCGTTCTGAGGGTTGGGAGGCGAGTTCGCAGGTGCCTGATGAGGCAGAGCCCAACAGAGCAGAATCCCAAAGGAAAATTCAGGAAGGGGGACAAAGTCTCACTGGGGTAGAATTTGGTAGAGCAGAGCCTCAGCCTTGCGTTTTTCCTCCAGATAGGCCTGTGTGCGTTCCTCCACCAGCTTCTCCAGGTTATTGGCATACTGTTCCATGCGCAGCAGGAGATTGTCCAATATGCTGGTGCCACCCTCCCTGTGGGGAGGCCAGGATATGGCACTTGCTCTAAGATTCTGAAGACTCCCAGGACTTCCTATCCAACCCACCCTCTGGTCCCACCTGCCCCACTTCATGCACTAGGACTAATGAGGCTTCTATCCCTGGGAAGCCCCTGCCCTATAATGCCCTCTCACTTGTTAAAGCGTCGAATGAAGCCCTTAATCTGTCCAAAGTCTGGCCGCTCAGCTGGGTCCTGAGCCCAACATCGCTCCATCAGCAAAACTAGCTCTTCATTCAGCTGGGTCCGGTCAATGCTTGGTCGGAAATATGGCCGCTGACCATTTCGTACCTTCTGGACAATCTCTGAGGGTGATCAAAGGTTTGGATGAGGAACTGAGTTCCCCCAGGAAGAAGAGGCTGTGGGTAGTGGATTGACTCTTACCTTTGGGGCTGAGGTCCAGGCCCTCCAAGTAGAAAGGACCACTGCGAAGTGCTATCTCCTGCAGGATGATCCCAAAGCTATAGACATCAGCCTTCTGCATGCCTGTGGTTGGCAAGGGGTTCCCACTGAGCAGTTCTGGGGCAGTCCACAGCTTCTCTGAAAAGAGGAAACAGGCTGGCCAGGTCCCCCAAAATGGGGTACCCCCAAGCCCACCTGGGCTCATCCCTATATTACTGTCACTCCACCTCCCTCTCCCACCATCCCTAGGTGGAAAAAGCAGCAATATATAAAGTGGGTTGTGGGGGTGGGCCTCACTGGCATAGAGGGCATGGCTGTCATCAGGTTCAGCAGTTGATCGGAAGCTGGCCAGGCCATAGTCTGTGATTTTGAGCACAAAACGACTATCCACCACACAGTTGGAGGACTTGAGACTCCCATGCGATGAAATAATGCTGTTGTGGAGAAAGGCCATGCCCTGCAAGGTACAGATCAAGTCATGGGACTAGATCATATCTGGCTTAGAATACCCTCTCTCCATGAGATGGGCGCTGGCTAGCTGTCTACAGATCTTAGGTCCACAAAAATAATAAGCTGATTTTGGAAGGCATCCTTTGCAGCTTCCACCCAAGGAAGCAGGAGGAACAGAAGAGTCATCTCTTCCTGGTATCATAAGCAGGACACAGGCACCCAGCCACCAGGGACAGGGAAAATGCTTAAAAAGATGGATAAGTGGAGCTACCAATGACTACCCTGGAAAGGGCAGTCAATCTTCTGATTAGTGAAGAGAACAGAACTTGGGTGAAGACTAAAATGATATGACACCCATGGTGGCCTCAGATACCTGGCTACTAATTAGAAAGACATGACTTGAGACCCAGGTATGAAGAGTAGCTGGATATACCAAGGAAGACCAGTTGTAAACTTTAATGCATAACCATGTATAGGTGGGCAAGTCCGGGTAGAGGAGGAATAAGATCTACTAGAGGGAATGCTGGATCAGAGAGAAAGTACAGAACATCATAAATCAGAAAAACCTGGAAAATGGACAAAATCTGCTAAGCCAGTGCAGAAGCCTAAAACTGCTGGCTCCGTGGGTCCACAGAGGGAAGAACATTTGCCTCTGAAGAGCTGAAAGATGGCCTTAAAGGCCGGGCTCAGTGGCTCATGCCTGTAATCCCAGCACTTTGGGAGGCCAAGGCTGGCAGATTGCTTGAGCCCAGCAGTTCAAGACGAGCCTGGGCAACATGGCGAAACCCCATCTCTACCAAAAATACAAAACTGAGCTGGGCAC